GCCCCTATGCCGCCACCCGAGATTGGCGGTGACGGGGCAGCAGATCTGTGCCGTCAACCCGCGCAAATCACCTTCCTTCTGACGGTGATGAGTTTCCGACAATCATCGAACTTCAAAAACTTCCCATTCCTATGGAAAGCACTCGCAGATTGATGTCCGTAAGATGCTGCCAGAAGGCGAAAATCGACGGCTTCGATTCCAACACCCTTTGCAGGCACCATGTAAATCCGAGCCGTCGATTAGTGACATTCACATCCAACCGATGTAGCTGTCGGCCCATGAGATCAGTCAACCTGCTTTTCAATACAGTTCTCTATACAATCAAACGGCTTTCCGGCCAATTTTGATGCTCACTACGGTAGACTTTCCTATGCTCTGAACGTACGGATGTACGCATGTGCTCTTACAATCTGACGGTGGGTACAAGAGCAAACAGAATGCACGAGTAACCACAAGCAACATGCAATCCGCAAGCAAATGGTACCAACACAAGGGTCACTCCACCAATGTTGCGAGCTTAGCCGCATTCATGCTATCTTCGATATGGTTAAGATCTTCATCGGGTGGCATCTTTTAACGGCCCGGCGCCTTGCATTCCAACCTAGACTGCCATCAAGATGACGCACGAGCCATCATCCTTCAACGCCTACCAGATGCTTCCTACCCCACTGTCCGTTGCTACCAACATCCAGGGCCTTACAACCTAGAGTCGGTGACAAGCACTTGTTGATCAGATGTTTTGAAGCCCTCTGAAGAAGCCTAAGCGTTTTATTGAGTGGTCTGCATACATCTGGAGTTGTAGCGTCGGTACGGTGTGTGGAAATAGCTGGTAGGTAGTTGTTCTTGTCATAAGCAGACACCTTCAAACTCAAACAATTGTATGCCAAGAGAAGCCTATGGCCGCACTGGCTACGGCGTAACGAAAAGAGACCATCTTGCACAATCCTGGTAAGAAAATGACGGGAATGCAATAAACTGTGTATAGTTGTGTTTCTCGCTTTTATCAAAACTTAAGCTACACGCTTGTTTTCTTGAAGGACCAGCTATTGTACACGATTGAAAAGTCTAGAGCTTTCCAAGGTTCCGCATGAGCATGATCTTCGGCTCGGTCATGTGCTCAATTGCGTACTTCACTCCTTCCCTCTCAATACCCGAATCTTTCAGGCCTCCATAAGGCTGATTATCAAAGCGCGTAGAAGGGCCGTCGTTGATAAGAACGCCTCCAACCTGCACAAATGGTTAGACACACCGTCAATTGTGGATTGTCCAAGTTGGCGGATTTACTGCCATGCTAGACTAGAACCAAACCATCTCCCAATCGATTCCTTTGACTCACAACTATGTTGCAAAAGAATATGATATGAAAACGAAGCAGGCCGGTAACCAAATATGGACCCTAAGAACGAAGAAACCTCAGTCTTTGGCCGTCCCTCTTCAAATCCGACAAACACGCCTCAAGCAACCTCTTATTGCTTGATATGCTAACGCATCACGTGATATCCTTCCTCAGTATCAAGCTGCCGGCCATCTTTCTCGGAACCCGCTCTGAAGACTTCAAAGGCTCACATGCTCCTAGGAAACGTCCTTTCACACTCGCTGGCCTGAGACACAAGCCTCGTTCTCAGATCTTTCTTTAATACCACGAGGAGCACCCGACACACGAAAGGAGAAGGAAACGCCGTCATAACGAAGAACAGGAGCGAGCAAACGGCTACGGCCCTCACTTGCAGATTCTCGTACGCGTAGGAGGCCTTGTCGAGATCCGTGGAACTGTACTTCATACTTGCTTGTCTACGACCGAGGCCTCGTTCTCAGATCTTTCTTGAAGGCACGAGACCTTACGGATACACAAAATAGAAGAATAGAAAAGCATGCAAACTGAAGGAAACAAAAGAGAAAGAAGCTACGGCGCTCACCTGCAGCTTCTCGTACGCATAGAAGGCCTTGTTGAGGTCGTTGGTGAACACGCCCGCCTGCAGGCCGTACCGCGACTCGTTCGCCTGCTTGATCGCGTCCTTGAAGTCGGAGTACTTGCTGATAACTAGGATGGGCCCGAAAATCTCCTCGGACACCACCTCGCACTTGAAGGGAACGTCCTCCAAGATCGTCGCGTCGAAGAGCACCCCGTCGCGCTTGCCGCCCACCAGGACCTTGCCGCCCGCCTTAACCGCTTTCTCGACCCACTCCTCCATGCGCTGCAGAAAGGGGTTTGGGTATAGGGTCAGCGGCTGAAGAGGCCGATGGCTTAACGTGCGACAAAAGAGTAATGCAGCAAACGCGAGTGTGGCGACCAGGAAACGCTGGCACTATACTGGGCGTCTTTGCAGGACCTAATGACGGGGGGGTGACTCCGTGATGAGTTGACAGCAGCCACCTAAAGCACCGAAACTACATCGCTCTGCATTCGGGGGCGACCTATTAATGACTGAAGGTTGCTGATAGGATTGACGGCAAAGGTGTTGCTTGAGCAGACCAAGTAAACGCACAGCTGCTAGAAAACCGTGCGCCTTCTTAAAAAAAAGTGGGCAAAAACGCAACGACTTCCCCGGTCAGCGAGCATGGCTGCAACGAAATGTTGCGTGAGAACGTGAAGCCCTCCAGTGGAACGTCAGCTTGAACAAAATTTAAAAAGACCGGAAAGATTGAACGCAGGACCTTTTGAATATATTGCAGGAGTAGCTCTGGAACATCCGTGCACATGGTTGAGCCCTTGTAGGGCCCGATTGCAAATTTCCCATCATTGCAACTTACTTCGACCCTGCTGGTCTTCAGCAGTGCCTCGCACCAAAGACTTGGACATATTAACGTCTGCTAAATGGGTAAAGACGCAGTTTCAAAGAGGCCCGCTCTGCAGCTCAAACGCAGGCACGATCAATGTCGCATGATTGTAAGGGTGATATCGACGAGCGCACAGTCGCGCGGTAGAAGCAGAACGCATTGAACAACGCGAAGGACCGGATTAAGCGTTTGAATGCCAACGGCAGATTCCCAAAAGGATGCATCCATAATTAAATTGGCTACGATAACCATTCATCATACATGCTCTTCTTTGAACCCAATGAGGGCTCAGAAAATCAAAAGGTCTCGTCTTTGCCATATAGTCGAGCGGTGATACGAAGTTCTTCCTCGTAGACGTATCACGACAGCCGAATCCTGCAAATAAAACAATGATGGCGGAACCTTCCCCGATTCAGGGACACGGAGGGCGCAAAAGTGAATGTAATTTCCACAAGGTGTCGAAAGTAGGTGTAACTAAGTGGAGAAGGATATACAAACATGCTTGAGTGGCATTCAAAGAAAAAACCGCTGGGCTTTTCGAGAGGCCAACGCTAAAGTATATCATGGCCAAATGTCAACAGGTCTGTCCCTTCTTTGACAACATCTATCTTCAGATGCGAAAAGATGCATACTCGGCTGGCAGAGAACAATCTGCGCAGGCTCCAGCAAGTGCTGGACAAAAGCTGCGCTTTGCTGCATCTCAACTTTCGTTGCGGAGCGAGAGGCAAGGGACGACTCAACGATATTGAGAGGACCAGAGAGACATTCAGAATGCAACTGCCAGATTCGAGACTGATAAAGAAATAAAAGGCGCATGGCCAAGCATGGAGACGAAGCTCCAGTCCCCATGATATTCGATGAGCCCTTACAATGGCCCAGGAAGCGAAGGGCTCGTCACTGCCACCACAATCCGAGCGAAGTCCTGAATCTCTTCCTAAGGAACGTATTGCAACCATGCAACTCGCACAATGAGGACAAGGAATTCGCGGGACCAGTCAGATAGAAGACCACGAAAGGCGGACTCACAAAAACGAGAAAAAATTCCGCAAGGTGTCGAGATCGGTGACCTCAGTGCAGACAGAAGGGATGAGTAAGACAAAGAGTGGCGCCCCGAAAACACCGTTGAACTTTTCGCGAGGCCAATGCCCAAGTGTATCATGGCCCGATGGTCAACACATCTATCCCAACAGGGTCACTCTCATTAACATCTTAAATCCTTTTAAGTATCATTGAGAAAGCGGGGCAGCCCCAAAATCTTTGTCAAAAGGTGCATTGGTGTAGAGCGTCACCTGAACGGTATATTCTGTTAAACGAAGAGCAGCTCGACTGCACAGACAGCATGACTGAGCCCAGTAAAGGCCCAGCAGCGCGTAAATTCGTCACTGCCCGATTGAACTTTCTTTCACAGAAGCAACGACTCCACACTGAGAGCAAAATCTGCTGACTTCTTGGTGGCACGGATGGCAAGATCAACAGAAAGTAACATCCTGCAGAGAAGCTCCACAAGCGAAGCAGAAAGGACAGGAACCCTTGGAGGATGTAAGATTTTTGTAAAAAGAGCAGCAGATTTGTTACGACTCGCTGATAACGTCTTTGCTTCAGCCTCCCTGGCTTGAGCAGTCCTCACCAAGTTGGAAATACGAGCAATTCACCAGAGAAATAGAAATATAGACGAACAGCTGTGCTGGCAACGAGCCTGATCAAGACCAGCCTGCTGCAGATGTGGCTTACGTTGGACGAAATGAGCCGGGATAGGCACAAGCGCGCCATACATCATGGCCACACTAGTCAAAGGCCCTGAGCCGACCATATAATGATCGATGACCACTTGCACGCTTGTGTAAATCAGGGTCTGAAGACATTCTATTTGCACGCTTCCAAAGACGGCGAGCAAGTCTACGCAATCTTTGCAACACAAGCGGACTTTACACGACCACCAGCCACGCAATTGATCTTCGCACGTCAAACAAAGCAATAGCTTGCTGTGGTTGTACCCATTGACGTCCGCCAACGTGGGAGCAGAATTCGCTTTTTGACTTCGACTTCTTTCGCAGAAGCGGGCACCAGCGCAAATGCAAACATGCCCATTATCTAGTGCAGCAACTCCGTGCAATTACGACCGCCTTATCCCTACTCCGACGCAATCATTCAATGCCTGGGCATCAGACCCGTATTTAAGGGATTTTCACTCTCCAAATGCAGCACCTTTTCATTCCGCAGATGGAACTCTCGGCCGACGCCGCCACCTGCTGTTAGAAACACCAGCAACGAAACAAATTGACAAACCCAAAAGCCGAGTCCAAGCAACTCACAATGGCTTCCTTCTCCGAGATGATGGGCCCGATCTTGGTATCCTCGTCAAGGGGATCCCCCTTCTTCAGCTTCTTGGTCTCCTCCACCAGCTTGGCCTTCACGTCCTCGTAGTGCTTCTCGTGCACGTACAGCCGCTGCAGGCTGATGCAGCTCTGCCCGCTCTGGTAGAAGCCCGCAAACCACAGCCGCGCGACGGTGCCGTCCAGGTCGGGGACGAGGTCCTCCACGATGCACGCAGCATTGCCGCCGAGCTCCAATACCACCTGGAAACAGTGGACGACGGTTTTTTGTTTAAGGGTCTCTTTGTTTATTTGTGAAATTTGAGCCCGCGAGCCACAGCCACGCAACGGTGCCGTCCAGGTCGGGGACGAGGTCCTCGATGATGCACACGGCGCTGCCGCCGAGCTCCCGCCGAGCTCCAATATCACCTGGAGAAAGCCAGACAGTGAATTTGACTTGAGTGAGTGCTTTTGTCTGTTGAGAAGAAGCCTGCGCACCACAGCTGCACGACGCTGCCCTCCAGGTCGGGACGAGGTCCTCGACGATGCACGCAGCGTTTCCGCCCAGCTCCAGAACCACCTGGAATCGGCCGGTTCGAAAAAGCTTAATTGCGCAACTCACGACCGTTCCACTAGACGGGAACTTAGGATGCAGGCTGCGTTTCAGCGGAACAACAGAACCGCCTTGGAAACGAAAGGAGAGAATCGGATTGATGTGAAACTTTTCGTAATGTTTTTCGTAAAGGAAGCCCACGGATCAGAGCTGCACCACCGAGCCGTCCAAATCGGGGACGAGGTCTTCCACGATGCACGCAGCGTTGCTGCCGAGCTCCCAGAGGACCTGAGAACCGCGGGCGGAAGAGTAGTCAATGCACTTTTGTCAGAGGTTTTCCGGATAGAAGCCCGCAACTAACAGCAGTGTGTCCCTCCAGAAGCAGGCTGCGGTCTGACTGAGCATCCGACACCACCTCGTTACAGGCAAAAGGAACAGTATGATATACCGTGAGAATCACACAAGTCCGCTGCCCAGCTCCAGAATAACCTGGGAACAGCAGGGAACAATTTTTCAGTATGATCTGTTGTTTTGTATGTTCCAAGGGGGCATCGAGCACGAGTCGAAGCTCCAGAACCATCTTGTGAGGGGAGTGAAGAAGCAATTGAAGGAGCGTTTGTTCCTTACTTCGCGGAGAGCATACTGGAGACCAGTTACGGACGCTCAACAGGCAAACTTCGCACGTAGAATCGATACCTAACCGTGTCAAGCATCCTCCCGTCGGAACACAATTCACGCGCATACAAGCAAACTAGGTTGAGAAGCTCAAGTGCTGAGTAAAGATGCGAAGCTTCCTTTGGCAAAATCCTGACCTCAAGGTGTCGGCTGCATCATAGTCCCGAGGTCTTTATCAAGGCGCCCTGACCCAACTCCTTCAACTTTCGATCAAATAACAACCCGATTGGCTGAAGCTTCTTGTATCCGTCAAGACATCCAGCCGTCTCCTTCCAACCTCTGGCCACCTCGTTTCAAGAAGTCAAACGACAGCCAAGATCAGACGCTCTCAACCCAAACGCCTCGAAAGAAGGCGCAAGAATCGACACTCTCTCATGACCTCAGTTCTCGTCAACAAGGATGAGGGAAGCACTCTTCTTCAAAGTACAGATAATCAGCTTCCTCTTACCTTCTTCTTGCCAGCGCGATCCTTCATGCGCCACCCCACCGAGGCGCTCCCCGTGAACGTCAGCAGCTTCAGCCGGTCGTCGGTCGTGAACAGGTCGGCCCCATCGCGCTCGCAGGGCAGGATGGAGAACGCGCCAGGTGGCAGCTCCTCGATCTTGGACAGAATCTCCCCGAGCAGTAGCGCGCCGATTGGGGTGCGGCTGGCGGGCTTCAGGACGAAGGGGCATCCCGCGGCAATGGCGGGTGCGACCTGAGAAAGGACATAGAAAGTGAAGAGAGTGCATAGAATCGCATCTGCATGTGGCTTCAGAAAGGAACAACATCAGCAGAAACGAGGACATCATGTAGGCGCTCTGATAGAATGGAAGTCTGCCGAGCCGGAAAAGAATGACGAAATCGACACCTGCGTTTGGTTTCCGGACCACAATGATTTGGCGCCTCATGATCCGCCGGTCTACCAGCTGACCTCCAACAAAAGGCTGCCCTCAAGAATACATGCTCCTAATGTTACGGGATTCTGTTTTGGGCTTTCGAGACATAACACCTCTTTCATAATGCTTATGGAACTTACTCAACATGAGCAACTCCAGCCCAACCACTCTAAGCGGGGCCACTTTACAAGATGCACTTCCAGTTTATGAATATATCTGATTGACAGCCGCCAGTTCACACTTCGAGTAATCTAAGAAAGAGCATGCGCCAGCTCACCTTGTGTGCAACTAGGTTGAGAGGGAAGTTCCAGGGCGAGACCATGGAGACAGGCCCGATCGGGAAGCGCCGAACAATGGACTGGAACCCCTTGCCCCTTGGGCCGTAGTCCACAGGCAGGTACTCTCCAGACAGGCGCACCGCCTCTCCTGAAATTCACAAGAAGAGTGGGGAAGTGAGCGAACTTACAACGATGGCTCCTAGATGTGGTGGTTTAACCCCTTCAGGCCGACAACCCAATTTCAGATGAAACACCTTCAAGCAGACACCTCGATATGAAGCGTTGTCTGGCTGACAACTTAGTCTGCCACTGGAGCCCTGCCACTGGAGCGACTTTCACCATAGTGGAGGCCAAAAGCTACGTTGGCAGTGTATTTTATCAGATACTGGCAGGCATTTGCAGATGAATTCAAAGTGAGACTTGATGGTTCTACATCCTCGGAAGCAATTGCAGAGTAGGACCGCAATGCACCCCATGTATGTGCTTTCTAATCGTCCCCCTTAAACAACAGTCATTGCGTGATTACAAATTAGCATTTGTAATCATTGAAACAACAATTGCAGTCTCAAGGACCAATGAAACCGCACCTGCTGCAATCTTGAATGTGTCGATGAGGCGCTGCACCTCGCCCCTGGCATCCACAATGGCCTTGCCAGCTTCCATACACAGGGCGCGGGCAAACTCCTCCTTTCTGCCTGTCACCTCAGTCACAACCTTCTCAAGGATCGCCTGCAAACAGTGCGCGGCAACTCAGATAACTATCCACCGACTGAGCTCCATTAGAGTAGCTTCAAAATGTAGGTTCTCTCTGTTCTGTGCTTTAAATATATATTTCAGTAGTGGTTTCGACAAACCTATAAGTCACATCGACAGGTTCTATGATACAAAGGCCCGTTAAGAAAATTCAGAGAAATGATCCACTATCTAATCCTCAGAGAGCAGATATATTGAATTGGATCAAAGCAAGTACATTCTTCCTGGTTGCTAGAAAAGTAGATCAAGCTCTGTACGACAATCTGGAGATTTTCGTTCATCCCTGATACAGGTTGAATGAGGACTTTTGAACTGACTGAACGACAACATCGAAAGATGCACATGCATCTTGTTGACAATCTAGAAGAAGAATGTGACAGGAAACATTTCAAAACAATGTCATGGCTCTGCTTACCTGGCGCGTGAAGGCTGGCAGTTCTGCCATTGCCTCGGTAGCTTCTACTGCATGTCCAATCGCTTTGTCAATGTCCTCTGGCGTGGCCCGAGCAACCTTAGCTCCTACTTCTTGGGTGTACTTGTTTAGAACCTGCAACATGAAAGAAGCCAGTTTTGGGCAAACCCTCAAATGAAATGGCAAACCGTAGATTGATGAAATGCAATTACTTCAATATGCATTGATTGCCTGATTCTCCTACCAAACAACGAAGGTTACGTAAGGGCAGTTGTAACGCAACATATCATCAAGTAAACATAGATTTAAGGCAAGACTACGGTGTCCAAATGCACCATGCATCAACTTTTCTAACATGATTGAGGACTGGTGTCAAAGAAGGAACAATTGTGGATTTTGTGCACCTCAATAGCTTGGTTTGGAGTGACAGGCTTGTTGGCAAGGTAGAAAGGATACACCTTGACCTGCACATCAGGGGCTAAACTGGTCAATTGGTGCCTTGCTTTTACAGTCAACAAAATGCATGCAACCTGCGTAACGAGCCACACTCAAAAGTACAGAGTATCAACCAATTGTGATTATGTAGTTGCATGTCTGGAGAGGGTCAAGAGAGCAAAGCTGTATAGAAAAGATGCTAGCCAGTTGAAAAACCCCATCGAATATGCATGCCCCCAGAAGCCTTGAGACAAAATGCAGAGACTTCGACCTTTCTTGCACTATGAAAAGATAACACCCCATCTGATTATCAATGATGGCAGCAATCAGACTAGAAATGCCAATTGGTGGAACTCGCTAAAGTCTGCCTCCTAGTAATCCAATTCAAGCAATGCTGTTGTATACACAAACCTTGCCTCCATTGCTTACCTCATCCTTCTTAGCAGACGCCATCGCGCTTCTCCTTTGAAACTGCAATTGCTCAAGTGGCTTAACAGTCGTTCTCCAGGAACCGATAGACAACAGAAAGCTTCCTTTCTGGTTCCCCACCAATTGCTTCCGGAACGAGCTCACAAAACTAGAGCTGGCAGCAGCCGTGTAAACAGGTCTGCACAGATTGATTCTGCCAACCCTTCCCGCACAGGAGGCTTCTTTGCTGCGTGCTGCAGGAACCGCAAGCGACCCCAAAAAGCTCCTCCTCACCAGCTGACAAGACGACATTTCAACGGCACTGGCAGCCAGTCTTCTGCAGTGCATGCAAGAAGGTTCCTTCGCAAGCCCTCCCTGCTGACGCTGTGCCGCACACGTGTATCGGATAGGCATGACGTCAGCAGAGCACAACTCGGAAAGATTCGCAAGAAACGGCAAAAATGACATTTCGCAGCGGCAGCGAAAAAGGAGACTGGGGCTTTGGCGATTTCGAATGTCGCGGAGAGCCGGTTTTAAAGTCGGCCTCGGGATCTCGGGTGTAATTCAGAACAGTTACCGCCCACCATTTTCAGCTCATCGTTACCATGGCGTCAGATTGAGGCCCCTGAAACAGTGAAAGCTGCACACAGTATTGGGCCATGCAGTAATCAGTAACAGGCGCTGCATTGCCCCGTGCAAGTTGGTGCCACTGCGAGCACAAAGCTGCTGAAAAGAGGGAAAGAGGGGTGCTGGACAATCAACCTTCCACAATTGAGATGGCAGAGCTTGCTACCATCGCGAAGTCGCACCGGCTGTTGGCCGGTCACGTCGTTTGCGGAGGGCCCGAGAATGGAAGATCAGGAAGCACCAACCAAGGGAGTCTTTTGGGCAGGACTCTACCTTCCTTCACAGCAGCCAACCAAGGCATTGTCAGGAGCTTGTGTGGAACAGTGCCAAGATGTCAAAGAGCGACAGAATCGCAGCAAAAAGCACATCTGCAGCTTGACGGACGTACAATTGGAAGACGCAGTCAGAGAGTGGTTCAGCGGAGCGCTGTGGCAGCAAGCGGTAAATACTACGTGCTGCAACCAGACTCCAAGAAGGCGACCGGTTACTTTCCCCCCTTCAGCAAGGACCTTCTAGACAACCTCCTGGTAGAGATGCCACCTCACTTGCTCCAAGAGCTGAGGGAAATTGTTCAAAACAGGATTTCGTCCGAGTCAGTGGATGCAGCGACGGCCGCGGAAGACGAACGCTTGTTCGAGTCTGTCGTGCAGATGATGGGAGAGTATGACCGCAATCTGCTGTACCAGCTCCCTGGGGAGACTCTTGAGGAGGTGCAGAGTTTCCTGGCAAAACGGGGGCGCATTCTCTACATCGCAGACAGTAAGATCGAAGGTGCGGGGCGGGGGGGCTTTGCCAAGGTCCCAATTAAGGCGGGTACGGTGATCACCCAGTATATCAACGAGCGGCAACTCCTGAATGCGCCTATGGGGTTGGTCAGGTCTACAAACCTCGCAGGAGCGCTTGGGGAGGAGTCAGACTCGGAGGCGAGCGTCTCAGGAAGCGAGAATGGGCAGAAGTATGACTACTATGGCCGGGAAGTAGACTGGCCCCCACATGCGATCCCGCATTTGTTGAACGACCACAGCGCCCTGCGGGGCCCGGACCTTTACGTCGACCCCGCACTCAAGATGGCGCAGTAAGTCGTCAGGCTAAGTAGAGCTCGTTCCTTTGTTGGGAGGGCAGAATGCTCGCTTTTCTGTTCTTTTAGCCTGTTCACTTGCCCTTGGACGTCATAGAATGTTGGGCCGGATCTAATATGAACAAAGAATGAAAGCTGGATCCTTTCGGCAGCGAGGGTAGCCTATTACCCAGCCTCTTCAGAAGCCGAGTCCTTTCTTTCTTTCTTTCTTATCATCTGTCTTGATCAGGAACTTTTGGATCCAGGTCCCGTTGGGTGTTTCGAGTGTGAATCTTGATTCTTCATCATCGCTACTAAAAGCAGTTTCGTAGAAAACCTGTTGCTTTTGCTCATTGTAACCAGCCAATCCATTTCTCCTCAGATACCTTCGAAGACTGGTCACAATGAACAACGTGGCCTTCGTTGAGCGGTGGGGCGAGCGCTTTGCCGTTGCAACCCGAGACATCGAAGCAGGGGAGGAGCTTCTCTGGACGTACGGCATCTCGTGGTGGTTAGACGTGGAGCGAGAAAACATGTTCATGGTCATGCTGTGGATCGCCAGCGAACAAACCGGGTCAGAGATGGGGGGTAAGGAGCGGGAAATGATAGAGGAGGCATGGTCAAGGATTCGGGTACTGGAAGAAGCGGCGCAGGCAGGGAAAGCGATGGAACTAGAGGTGGTTGGGAAGCACGGGCCGAAGGCGCGGGAGGAAGTGTATGTAATGGAGCCGTTACCTAAGTTGTTTGAAAACGAGGAGATTTTGAGGGAGCAGCTGGTGCCGTATTATGCGGATATGCTGGAGGCCTGGAAGAGGGACACGTTTGACGAGGAAATGCTGCAGGAAATGCAACGGACGATGTTTGGCTGACTGATGTCGTCAGATTAGTGGGTGATTGCCACCTTAAATGCTCAGCCCATAGCTTCGACTACCATAATCTATTATGGTCCTAGGTCTGATTCATAGCTCCACCACTTCGATTGGTCGAGCTCAGTGCACGTGAGCCGCCTCTATCTGTTCAAAGTTCGGTCAGCTGGCAGGGTCCGACAGATCCCAGGGGACCGTACGTCTTGCGCATGCTGATATGCATCCGAAGCTGGTACTATAGTGTTCGCCGCGCGCAGCAAATGGCCCGCGGCCATGCCTTGTAGCTAGTGCACATATTGGCAGTTCAGCTTGTGCTAGAGCTGTCGTGTGTGCCAGGCGGCGCCGCCTGGCACACGTTGGCGCCAACGTGACTCCTTCTACATGACGTACACCAGGCTAGCTGGCCCACGATGATCGAGACTCATGTGTGATTCAGGATCAATTCGCGATCGTGCTGCTTCATATATGAGAAAGACTGAGCTAGGTTGATTGGTTGACTTGCGCTATGTAAGATATTTATGGTTAGGTATTTTGTCAAGTTCAAGTCAACCTCAGTCTTCCGCGTTATACAAATCAAACCGGCGAGCATGGCTGGCACTCCAATTTGAAGGTCATGCTCAATTGCGTGAAGGATCATGTCAGCCACCATGGACGACGATTTGTAATTGTGTAGATAGAAGCACTAAGATGATCAGATCTGTCCGTAAGAACGGTTTCCTTCCATTTTGTTTGCATAAAGGCCGTGAGGAATGTGTTGAGCTCGGCTGAGTATGCACTAGAATAATACTAGAAATGTCGACAATCTAGTTCAACTCAAATCGCAAACACATCGAGCGACGGCAGCCCAATAGGCGCAGGTAACATGCTTCGACTCTGACTCCTTAGCTAGCTGCGCAGTAGCCTTACCGGATCCTAGCCATCTCTACCTTACCAAATGCTGCTCACCAATCAATTCTTTGGGCCTGTCTCGACCATCTTACCAGATTCACACCTTGCGACTATTTTCGCCCTTCCGGCTATCTACAGATGACTCGCACACTCTCTCTCTTCCCCCTCTGCTTCGGGTTGAAACGCAAACATAGAGTCGTGAAATAGAGCCGTGGCTCAGGAGCTGAGGCTCTTCGAAACTTCGATGTCGAGCTGGTCTGCATCGTGCATGTCAGCAATAACAATCGATGCCGTCTTTTTGAACACCTGCAAAAAGACAAGCAGCTTTCACATGCAACTTTAGTACCATATTCCAGCGGACCTGCTGCCGGGTACGAGTCTACCGACCTTTTTTCCTTACACAGAAACGGGGGGGCGCCAGACACCCCAAGCCCCCCGCCTTCTTCCTTATACGGTCTTTACATCGTTGCACGAAAGTGGCCATCAGTCGGCGAACCGAGAGCCCAAGCGCCCGTCAACCAGGAAACTCCCGTCGATGGATGCGCAGGTCGGACTCGCCTCTTAGTCGAGAAAGTGGGTGCCCGAAATAAGGAGCTGAGTTCCAGGCGCTGGCGGACTATAACCCACCTTGTTGAAGAACTCTAGCTCGGCCGTCGCAGCCCAGACCTCGAGGGACACGTCCTTGGCCTTACCAGTGTCCGGGTCCACCTTCGGCGTCACGGCCTGCAGAAAAATTGCGCCAATGTCCGCCTTTAGAACACGCAAAGACATGTCCTAGTGGGATAAAAGTTCGTCATAGTGCTGTCCGCAAGAGAGTCTTAAAAGTGGTGCCTTGAGCTGGCTCCGGAAAAGGAAAGGAAACGTGTTGCACGAAAAGCTGCTATTGGATGGATGACAATCCCTGTATCTTTGAAAAGGGGCCGGCCCCCTTCCTCATAAGAAGGACAGTAAACGGCTTAACGAAAAAAGGATCTGGTTCACAGGCGAATACTGGGGGCCAATTTGAAAGAAGACACATTTTGTTGGAAGGGCGGTAGTGAGTGTGCTCGACGGTGAATTCAAGCGAGTGAGAAATTGCTGCTGATCAATCCGTTCTTGTCTTGCAGCAAGAAAAAGCACTTAGGACGCATGTGATGAAGAACGAAGGTGGTGCTGAACCCTATCCTCTTTCAGCGGATGAGACAACCACAATAAGAATAGGGACAATCAAGAACGATTTTGAGAGAAACTTGATCCAACTGAGGGTACATGAGAGCCTTACGGGATGGAAGGAGATTGAGGACATGCGAAAAGACCTGAAAACACAGTGCGAAGTCAGTGGTCTCACCAGCACGCAAGACTGCAGGTCTTGCAGCACCGTCACCCGCTCCACCGTCGACGAGTCGCACCGGTCTAGGGCGACCGCCACGCGCATGATCGCACACATGGCCTTAAACTTGGTCTGGATCTGCAGACAGGCAGGCGGCTATAAAGATTAGGGACGCTACTCAATTTATCCAGTCTCGCTTGTTCCCAATGACTCACTTTTTGCGTTTGCACAGACCTTAAAATCTGTGCGTCTTGTTGCTGCGTCGACGGAAACTCTGGATTGCATTCGAATACGACCTCTGTTATGGTTACGTTGGGCCGCTTTTGCAAGGGGAGGAATACAGGGTAGGTCCAGAAATGGCGAGATGGCCTGGAGCGGTCATATCCTGGCGGGATCCATCAATATCCTGGCGGAGCCACTTCTTAAGGGCAGAAAGGGAAGCACATGAACGGCAGACAACCACATTCAGGACGAAAACGGAAAGACGAATACGGGAGAGTTTCTCGCTGATCGTACCTCCGGCGGTAGCTCTGCGAAGGCCTCGTGCTTGCTGGAGGGCACCTTTTTGCGGTGGTACCGCGTCAGCAGCGCAATCACCTCGATCTCCATCGGACTGAAGCCCAGCAAGTGCTCGTTGTTCTGTGTGCAACAGAAATAGAAATCGGTCAGCGACTTGCAACTCCAAGCCAGAGCGCTTGTATTGGGACAGTGATCTCAGCCCTGATTGTTAGCGTTGCTTTCGAACTTGAGAGGATACCGCTAAATCGATGATCCTGTCTAGGGAAACCCGCCACGAAAGGGTGGCAACCGACGGCTACTATCGACCACATGCAGAAGAAAAGCGTTCGCTCGTGACCCTCGTCTCAAAGCCGAAGGATGAAAGCCCGTCAAACGAGCAACTGACCAGCAGATGCCAAGCCGCCGAAGTGAGCGTATGCCTTAAGTTCCGGACCCGATACAACCCTCTCGTTGTCTTTGACGCTCAAACATTCAGAAGCCGCCCAGCGCAAAGCCCGACTGGGCAAACCAATCTTCTTGAGGCCCGTTGGACGAGCATGGGCGTACCTTGATGAGGTAGTACGAACGTTTGTGGTAGCCAGTGTGCAAAACGAACGTTACCCGCACTGTCAAGTGCATTCAGAAACCCTTCACTTACGAGAGAAAAGCAGATTGAACATACCACCCCACTCTAGGCCTAGTCCGATCGTACCTTGCTAAGATAGTAGGGGTGTTTTTGGTAGCCGGGGTGCGAGCGAACATTCCTCGCAGTGCCAGGTGCGTTCAAATTCCCCTCACCGGAAGCGAACCCTGGTGTAAGAACTCCAAAAAAGTTACAAGAATAAAACGGGGCCAAAAAGAAAGAAAATTGTGGGCCGTCAGACGAGGGGGCCATACCTTGATTAAGTAGTAGGAGTGTTTGTGGTAGCCGGTGTGCGAGACGAACATGCCGACGTAGTGCAGCATGGTGGCGGCCTCCATGAGGAAGCAGTCGTTGTCGTCCAGCGACAGCGCCAGCTCCGTGCAGCAGTCCTGGCTGCCCGTGCGGCACGTCTGCATGCCCCACAGAATTTGCTGCACGGAAAGGGCACCAACCAGGTCATCAGATTGCTTCACCAGCATATGGTCGAAAGGAGCGGTACTCTGTCAGTGCTCTGCTCCAGTTTACACCAGGGCTTCATTGTGGCAGGGTGCCCCTACCGCACGCCTGCAAGTTTCATTAAACCTGATGCACGAAGAGCGAATAAAGGCGAACACTGATATTCCAGCGGAAGTCTGGAGACCTTTTCGACACACTTCTAAAGCATCTTCCGAGCAACCTCCCAAGGTTAGTGTCAAACTACTCCCGTCTAGATTTCATTGACGGACGTACTTGAAAACACCAGACTTTCTAGGAACTGGCAGACCTTTCCGCAGACTGTAACGATCCGAGCAAAGCAGATTCATGACGTTGGAGACGAGTAACGGGTTCGGAGGCGCTTGCCTTTGCGAGGTCCGCGGAGTGGATGGCGGAATCCATTCTGCGGTCGGTGTTGAACCGCGCGGCCAGATTGAGGATCGAAGCGCGCCGGATGTCGGGCGTCTGGTTGAAGTTCTCAATGGTCTGCGACAGCGTGTCGACGATGACGCCCTCCCGAAGGGCGTACGGCGACACCTGTCATGAGAGAAGTGACGTCAGTAACTAAATGTCCTGACGTCAGCACGGACTGTGGTCAAAGAATCCAGCGGTTGGTTGCGTTTCTCGTTGGTCTGCGACAGCGCGTCAACGATGACGCCCTCCCGAAGGGCGTACGGCGACACCTGTCAGGAAGGGAATGACATCAGAACATGTGCTACCTGACGTTAGCACAGACCAAGATCAGAGTTGCTCACGGTCTCGCTGAGAAGGTTCTAACAGGACGGGAGTACCTCTAAAGAGGCGAGAGGTTTGAGAACAATCGCCGTGAATCTGAGCGCCGATGAAAAGGAGAACCAACGCTTAGATTCCACTTGGCAATCTTCCACGCACACCTCGACATCCTTAAAAATATTTCGCCGCATACGAGCCTTGGAAATATTGGAAGAGGAAAGGCGATTGTTGAACGTTCAGTCTGAAGAACAGCAGAGCCATCAAACGACTTGTATAGAATTTGAGCTTTACGAGTCGGCCAATCATGACCCGTCCTCACTTTCATTTTGTCGATGTTCATGGCCTCAAAGATCTCCTCGAGCAGGATCGCTCCCCCCACGATGACGTCAGCCCTCTGCTTCTGCAGCCCCGGGATCTTGGCGCGCTGGTCGTTCGTCTTGGCCTTCAGAATCTTCTTCACCACGGCTGCGATCAAAGTCATCAGATGGGTTTCAGCATAGAAAGAAAGGGGCTGGTCGTTCGTCTTGGCCTTCAGAATTTTCTTCACCACGGCTGGGAACAGAAGGAGTCACATGGCTTTCAGCAAAAGAAGAAAGGTGCTGGTCGTTCGTCTTGGCCTTCAGGATCTTCTTCACCACGGCTGCGATCAAAACAATCACGTGGCTTTCAGCGGATTAAGAAAGATAAAAAGTATAGCCGGTCGGCACTACAAATTGGAAATCTAACAAAACGGTGACACGCTTCAAGGAAACAAGCGGCAAGAAGAAAGGACTGCCAGTCAAGCGTGCAGGAGAGGAGTCAATTCCAACGAAAGCTGGTGACCAAACGAAAACGTCAACTCATTAAGAGCGATAAGAAAGACACACAAGAGCGGAAAAACGAGCAAACAAAAAGTCCCCATTTTGCAAGCTGCTCGTTGGTACTCAAACTTCTGGACACTCAAAAGAAAGACGGAAAAGAAAAGGAAAAGTCCATATTAGAAGAGGTGCAAGAACTAAGTCACAATTCATCACCCTTTCCGGACAAGGAACAAAAACGAAAAGAGAGTCTCAGGCAGAGTAGGTACAAAAGCAAAAGCAAAGACCGTCACCCTGCAGCTGCTCCTTGGTGAACTCCTCCTCCTTGAACTGCCGCCCCTTCTTATCGGCCACCTTCTTGTCCACCTCCGTACCCTCCACGCCCTCTGGTTCCACGTTGGCATGAATCATTTCCGCAATCGTTTCAATCGTCCCAGAACTCCCGATCGCGACATCAAAGTGCCGGTTGCTGACTGCGTCAAGGACGCCTGAGTCCGCGAGCATTATCCGCACGTGGCGCCGGAGGTCGTCAATCTGCAATGGAACACTTGTGCGTAACTTAGCTTATTTCCAAGAGCGTAAAGATGGTCAGTATGGGGCAAAGAGACCGTGAGAAAGATTGAGTTTACGCGATGTCCTGAGGTCCTTCGGATTCTCAGGTGCGATCAGAAGGATATGGCAACGGACGCCTTTGCCAAAGGCGCTTTTCAAAAAGTAAAGCAAACGTTTTGACCCTCTCGACAGCATCCCCAAAAAAACTGGTAGCCTGGATCGCTCAGTATACACTCGTGGCGCAAAACAGGCGTACCGGCGCAGGGACTGGGAATCTGAACGACGACTTGCAGACATTTCAACATGTGCAGAAAAGCAGTAGCTCACAGGATCTTCCTGGGTTGCCCTGTCGTTCAATGTTCTCGGAGGAAATTTTCACGACAAGCCCGAAACGATACCACCGTCTTTGGCAATAGGAACTGCTAAGAGCGCTTCATCCCTTGTCCACCCTTTGCAATGAAACGTTCGACCGGAAGATGCGGCAACTCATTGCATATAACGTCTTGAAAGTCAGCAGAGAAGCAGCGAATCTTCGAAGCGCCGTTCGCAAAGTGTTCACACCCCCACCTGCGACCTCTGCAGGGGCTCATTCCCACTCCCTAGGAATTGCTCCGTCAACCGCACATGCCCGAGCTTCAGCGACGTGGCATAAAGCGGCTCCCCTTGCCGGCCCACGACGAATTCGGTAGAGCCTCCTCCGATATCGACGGTCAGGACGGTTTTTTCGAAGACGGGGAGGGCTTGCAGAACTCCCAGATAGATCAGGCAAGCCTCCTCTTTGCCCGACAGGATCTGGACAGAAGAGAAGAGCAGCAGGATTGAGATTCTCGAGGGGTTGGAGATTATCGATCGGGGAAGGTAGCGTTTTGGGGGAACGGTCAGCCTGCAAACCGTGATGTGAACGCCCTAGCATAGGAGAGCCGGCGCTTGGTGGTCATCTCTTTCACGCGGGCTGCTTCACCTCTTTTCGCGGACGCTTCCATAATCGACTGATCTAGATCAATTGACCGATCTAGATAGAGTAGCATACAGGATTTCAAAGGCAGGCAGATCGCGGCCTCCCGGGAAGAACGAGGTTTGGATGTGCTGGCACCCAAAAACCCGGGGTGAGCCATGCCTTCTTTTCAAGTCTAGCCCCAAAGCAAAAGCCTTACAGAAACCGGTCTGCGCATCAGTAATTCGAGCATGGCGCTTTGCAAGCTTCTTGAAAGGGCTTACCTCGACATCGATTCCTGTCTCCTCCTTGACTCGCCGGATGTATGTCCTTCGGTTCTTTGCCTCCCGGACCGCAGCTGCAAACAGAAGTACGAAGATCACTACCAGGCAGTGTTGTGACAACCACAAGGCCTCTTTGGGCTGGCTGCTCCCGAAACAAGGCGGTCGTGCAGTTTCTATTAGAGACAACCATGAACTTGGGAACAATGGCTGAACTGCGTCAACTTCGAGAGCTCCTTCTTTTCTCCAATACAAAGTCGATAAGCCGATTTCTGATATCTAGTTTTGAGTGATACAAACAAGCCGATCCCGTTCCCTGTACTCGTGAAAGGACTTGTATGCAGCAACCACTCTCATCGACCGGATCACTTAAGCAGAGGAACGATTAAAGGCACAGCAGGTCTCTGCACCCCTTGAAAACCGAAACCTGCTGTAATCTGGCACTGGATTCCGTTAGAAATCCATTGACCTGAACCTTTGAGAGGCGCGCTCACATGTTGCGACCACTCTCATCGAAGCGTTCCTGGTTTTAGCAATCTTCTGGAATCGCCTCATGGCTGCGATCGCGCGCTCCTCGGCGTCAGGGTGAATGATGCTGAACCCCATGCTGCCCTTCCCCAGCCTGACATCATCCTTCTCCTGAGACGCAGATGCAACGACATGAGATCATGTCAGACCACAAAAGAACCTCCGGTTGAACATATGGCTGATCTACTCATGTGGTCAAGTTGACGGGGGCCACATGTTGGCCCGAAATGTAGGTCAACCTACAGGCGAATCTTTGAGATGGGGTTCAGTGACATAGATCCATGCCCCCACGCTCTCTCTCCTGTGAGATGTTAGACCGGAATCTGCAGAGCATGTCGTGTCACACCATTGAAGCTAAGACACAGAAACCTCAGCAGAGCAGTATCAGCATCTCTAACCACGCTGTTGGTGCTCATAAACGAACAAACATGTGTTCCCACGGTCAAGGTCTGTGAAAACTTTCAGTATGCAGCACACATAGACCATCCTCGGACAGATGCTCTCAACACCTCCGTATATACTTGGGACTACCAGGCTACTAAAGAGCTAGGTTCTTAAAGCTCACCACATCGACAATCTGGAAGCGACCTTTTGCATCGGCCCGCACTATGACCATGTGGAACGAGTTCGTCCCCATGTCAACAGCCGCCAGCATTTTGTGATCTGCAATCAAAGCACAGGCTCAGGAACTCTCAGCTTGTCTGCTAGCTCACGTACGGTACGGCTCAAAAGCGTCTAGCTCACAGGTATATCACCGTACTGAAAACTTGTGCATACACACAACATGAGTACCAGCAAGAAGCTCGGTTGGCATGTCAGGAGCAGAAACTAATCAAGCTGCACCCAGCCACAGAATCGTGATTGACTCTTCTACAGCTTCTTCATTGGCGCAACAATCAACCGACTGTGTGAGGCTGAAGTCGTAGTCTTCACACTCTCCGCTGCCTGCCACAGCATGGAGCATCTTAACGACTTTGGCACTATCTCACAAGCCACATGGTCCATAAACAGATTGAAAAACACTATCCGATGCTGCTGTGAGTACAGATCCTTTTGCCTCACTCCCATGCAACTGCGGTGAAGAACTAGAAAGAGTTGAACCACTGTCCGAACGATCCTTGCCATCAAGACAAGGCAAGCATATAAACTTCACTGTAGTTCTGATTTGAAGGGGAGCGGCACACCTCCGTCAGGCTCTATTTGAGGCTCTGACTGCTGTCTCGCTGCAGCTGCCAGTCCCGGGGGCGGCCTGTCTCCATCTTCCACATAGATTGGCCCCCTGCCATTGCCCTCCCCATTTGTGGACTCGCCGCCTTCTCCCTGATCCTTTTGCTCTGCGTTTGCGCTGTCAACATGGCCATTGCTTCCGCCCTTGCTGCTTGCACAGACTTTGACGTTTCTAATAAAGGATGTTGACTTGGGGAGCTGCTGTGGTTGTGAATGCTGACGGTTGTATGAAGAAGAGCTACGAGAAGAGTGCCGGGGGCCTGGAGGGCGGCCTTGGGGTTTTGGGATTGCCTGAAGAAACAAAATTCAGGTTGGCAACTTATAAGGAAACCTTGACAATTAAGAGTGTTGCGAAGGAAGCACGAGCTTAATAAAGCGTTTCAATGTTCCAAACTTCCGGAGGAAGTCCCATCCTCAGGCTCCTTAGCATGTGAGAAGCGGTCGTGAGAGAGACCATCTTGTGTCTGAATGACTCATATGGAAGTAGAAGATCAACGCTCTTGGCTTAGCAAGTTACTCTATACACCCAGGCAGCAATCCATGCTTGAATCCGTAAAGATTTAGCACAGCAAGGAATTTAATGGGACGAATACGTCTACATCCAGCTACCAGTATCCACGAATCTGGACAAGGGGGACTTTTAGCAGAAGAAAACCCTTGCAAATCCAAACAACGAAGTTTCAAAGGACGTCACAAAGGTGAATCCAGTGCCATTGATTCCAAATGTAGGGTGCCCTTTAGAGAACGGGCGGTTCCGTGAACTCACCTGGAAAGGCAGGCAGCAAAGGGTGACTCGTCTAGCCTGACTCTCTAATCTTGCCGTGCAGAGACTTTCAATCCCTCGGCTCCCGCAGACACTCTTCGTCAGTGCCATCTCGATCTCGGCCAGAACCTTTTGATCTAACACTGCCCTCGCTCACTCCCCTGCCGCGTCAAGCGAAAAGTCAACTGAACGCTCTGATTGCCCCCTCCTTGAAGGCTGCCATCCTCGCCGCCTGCTTGGCAGACCGAGGACAATGCGGCCGTGCAGCCATTCCAGGAAGTAGAACTAAGAACCAGAGAAAGGCGGAAGGCGCCAGTGGTGTGTGAGATGCCAGCCTGCGCCAGTGCAAAAGCGCAGGAAGTCCCTGACAGTGGCTGACACCTGTCTGCCGCAGCGGCGCAGGAAGACCTTCCAAAGAGAATCTTCAATACAAACCGTCTGAGGCCTAAGGACAGATTTGAGCCCTACGATTGAACATGCCTCTTGTCCCGCGGCCGGCCTCATCAGCTTACTTTGGCAGGTTGGTCGTCCCGATACCCCCGGTCTAAAAGATCCGGCTGTCAAAGCGAAGCCCTGCCAAACCCCAGCGATGCTAGGAGATGGTCCCTGCAACCGGGCGCCGCGGCCGCCCACGCGTACAACAGTTGCCTTCATAATTCATTGTTGATTCTGTCAATGTCAGAATTGACAGACTTGGAAGGGAAAAAACGAGCTGTGGGCGCCCACGAAAAATCCACTTTGTCACAGTAATCAAGCTTTCTCGAAGTCACCTTGCTCATACCTGGGCTCATTTCCGCACTCTGCAGACGTTGAGCTCAGGATGGCTGGAGCTCACGCAGACCTGCATGCACGGAAGGTAAGACAATGAATGCCAACCAATTGATCTGCAGAGTTGCATGCAGTGCTTCTTAATATGATTGGTGCTTCCCAATGCGAGAGACTGTGAGAAGGCCCGCATCAATTGCAGATTTTTCAAGATCGAATGTTGTGGTTCTTCATTGTTTGGTCAGCATCTTTTCCTACCATATATGCAATGCTGCGGTATGCCTGCTCTCCTTTGTGAACTGTTCTCTGATATGCAACATTATATTCCAATGACAATCCTCGGAAGTGCCCAAACACCAAACCAGAGCATTCAAGCTTTTCATCTAGATTTTCTTCTTTCATCTTGTCTTTCTGCCTTCTTTGTGCTTTCTTGTTTGGGCTGCACAACCACTTCATATTTAGACAAACTTGCAGCGATTGCCTTCAATAAATGTTGACTTGAAACACTCAAATGGAAAGACCTAAACCTACACACCTTATCCAGGCCCTTGGAACAAAATTATGTTGTGTCCCAAGACCAATGGCTACAATTCACATCCTATATCTGATCCCCATCAACTTGTTGAGCAGATCATGATTGCCATGGACGGCGGGCCAGAGAGCTGGTACGCTGTCAAGTGGGGCATTGAGAACGTGGTGCGATTTGGTGACAACGTGCTCATTCTCTATGTGGGGCCCAAGGAGGAAGAGACGGGCGACTACAGCGCAAAGGCGCTCATGTGGGAGAAGGGGGGCACACCTTTCATCCCGCTCATGGAGTTTGGCTCGCTTGCGGTGAGGCTGCGCGGGCTCTGCATAAACACAAATATGAAAGACTTCATCGATCCTTCTGATAATTGCCAAAACTAGGGCAGAGTCTTTTCTGTAATGCTCATGGGACTTGTGAATCGTGAAGCACAGTAATCTCTGCTTCACCATTTTACGACACCAACACTGAAACACAAGCTGGATCGAGACCAAACGTGTAATGCTGTGTTAATCCAGCATCTCTCAGGATATATCAGCATTGCAATGCCAAACTGTTTTTTGAGAAGGACAAGGGTTGCTCTTGATAGGCTCTGAGCGAAGGAATATTTAAGTCTGGGCATTTACCTGTTCAAAATCCAATGAGGTCACAACAAGTCCATGAAGGTGATTACTGATTTGAGTTGTTGGCCCGACTTGTTTTCAGAGAGATTGCTTTGAAGAAGGTTTTGATGTTGATATACTGGAACCTCAGCAACGTACACCTAATGTGAAGGCCCCATCATCGTTATAACCGCTAGGGGTTCAGACTGCGTCCTTGGATTACTGCCTGTTGCCACATATTCTGCACAGCGCCTGATTGACCCCGTAACGAGCCTCACGAAAGTTGCCTCCAGTACTTTTAAGCCTCTAAGAGTCCAGCCCAAAGTATTTTGCTGCAGTGCTACACTTATTTGTGCTCCTTGCAGTAGCTTTTTGCTTCTCTCCTCTCCTCTTCTTCCGCCCAGACTCTGTGGAAGAACCCGAGACCAATCACAAACCACCGTAGATGCGCATCCCTGCCCCTCCCTCTGCGCCAGCTTGTCTCAATCTCGAGCTTCTGGCCATCTTGATTAGTGATTTCATCTTGCTCATCTTGACTTGTTATCTGGCCTGTTTACAGAACCTCAGATTTAGCCGCCCTCCTTTTGCACGCTGGCACTGCTTGACCACTAAAAACCTGTTGTAAGCTAGTTTGAAGTAACCTTGAGCCCTCATTTGGGCTAAAGCGCTTCACCCTCGACTCCTCATTTCGACAAGTCCTCAGCCACGTCATTGGTCAGCACGTGGAAAACCGCCTCGATTGAACTTGAGTGAAACTCACTGCATTCTCCAGAGCTTTGGACTACGATGCACCTCTTGCGAATCTTTATCTATCAGATTACTGGGTTAAGGCGCACATGGTGAACCGTTTGGTCTAACCTAACCAGATTTGATTGCCTTTCTGCAGAGCTTCGGGCTGAAGGGCTTCACCCCCGAGCTCCTCGCGGAGCTCGAGCAGCTTTCGAAGGACCTGAAGCTGACAATCTTCGCACAGGTCACTCTCCGCACCTTTGCTGGCTTGTTTGTATAGTAATAGCTTGCGAAGCTGTTCACCGCATATGCCAGCCTGAGGACTTGAGTGAGACTCTACGTTGCCATTCTGGTCTAGTTGTTGAGAAGCGATTACGACTAAGATCGGCTCTCAAGTAGTACGTTTCACCTCAACATGAGTAGATGATGACAGGGGCAACGCAAAACTTGGCCACTGCTGTACAGAGCTTTACAATGAGTCGAACACCATTAAGTGTGCGTCAACATCAGAGCAATCGGTTCCAGCTTCCTAAACGACGTCACAACCCGGCCAGACTGAAAGCAACGCAAACATATACAAGAACAACAAGACTAGGCTGAAGATATCGGTGTTCGTTCTGTTCAGGTCTACTTCGGCAACGCTAAGGAGAAGATTGTGACCGCCGCCGAGCAGAACGGTACGGACCTGATTGTGATCGGGCACCGGGGGCTCGGGAAGTTCCAGCGGCTCTTCTCAGGCAGCGTGAGCGCGCACGTGGTCGAAGAGACGGACTGCCCCGTGGTCGTCGTCAAGCTGCCCCGGGAGAAGTAGATGCACCTTAGGGGGCAGGTTTGAGGGGGGGAGTTGTGTGAGGTTTCTTGGCCGGGAATTTGTTCGGTTGGTCGTTGTAAAGCTGCCCCGGGAGAAGTACAGTGCACCCGCCGGGGGGGGGGGGGTGTTTGTGAGACGGGGTGGTTTTTTTGCACAGGGGGTTGTCGTCAAGCTGCCCCGGGAGAAGAAGTGCACCTGAGGTGGGGGGGAGTGAGGCGGAGTGGTGTTTTTGTGGCCGGGAATGTGCTCGGGTGGTCGTCGTCAAGTTGCTACGGGAGATGTAATCTGTACTTTAAGGGCGGGGGGAGTGGGGCGTGGAGAGTGCGCGGAGAATGCTCGGGGAACTCGTGGGTATTCTGTGGAAGAGGAGGAATGGAAGGAGGAGGTATCACGAGGGGGTTACCCAGTGGTCGTGGTCAAGCGGCGCTGGAAAAGTTGGTTAGTTGCGAGGGCGCTTGTGTACAGAAGTCAATGATACATGCTGGAAGCCAAGGGGAGTCCAGACTTGTTGGGAAGGGTTTTGGGACGGGTCGGAACCCAAAGAAGGGTTCCAATATGGAACGATTTGCACAGTAGGGCTTTTGACTGGAAGTCGGGAGTCGTAGTCAGGCTATGGCGTCCGGAAGAGGCCAAAAGCGTGATGTTCAGAGTCAGCAGAAGCGGGAGGGGTAATGCGAGAGGGTGAGATAAGATGGAAAGGGTTGAAGGCGGCCAGGAGAGCGGATAATGCAGGGGTTTCCTTAGTGTAGCCTCTGACAACCCGCCCAGTGGAGCGAACTTTGACTGCCGGCCAAGCAGTGGAGCGGCGGTGGTTCGGGGGGGCCGAAGAAGCCTTATGTGTATAGCTTTCAGCACGCGCGGGGAAATAGGATGCGGTTCGCAGGATCGAAGGGGAGGGCTGGATGGGATGTAGTATAAATAAGACTAAAACTGTGCCACGTCGAGTGGAAACATGGCGTGTTTGCAAGCTGCAGTCAAGAATAACGGCTGGTGAAAGGTGGGATGTCAGTCAAGTAAATGTCTGGGAGTCAAGTCGCTTTCCTTTTGCGGGGGCCCACCCTTTACCGGCCTAGTTCTCAAGTACGATAGTGTACGTCTGTAAGAAGTTGAGCAGTCAAATCAGATTACGAGAGTCGATCTCAGTGCGTCAACCGTTGTGTGTATTGCAAAATCGTGTGCTGGACGTGGCCCTGTGCCTACGTATGATCTTTTAGAACCAAGTATGAAAGGATTGCTGATTGTTGTATACCATTGACATAAGCTTGGATTCAAGCGACTTCCAGTGCAGCATCCCGGATGCCCATTGGCCACGTGAACAACGCGACCGTCCGAGATTGACCGAGTCGAAAGTTGCAGAAAATTCGACACAACCTGATTAGGTACGTTGGTTTCGATTCCACCATATTGCATGTTGAACACATACGACTCGAGAGACAAAGTAGACTATATCCCTTGTTGTTACACAATGGATTGCCTATATATACAATTAGTGCTAAAAGATCATGAGTTAATTTCTATACTAAGATCGATAAGCGGCAAGTGCATCTGGGTAAATATTGAGGAAAAACTCATGCATGTAAAGCACTGCGCGCTGCAGCTCTCTACAGGCGATCCGTCTTTTTCGGTTCTCGTTATATGAACAAAACGCGTGCAAGGTCACTATGTGTACATACTTAACGAGACGATGAGTATAGTGCATGTACCACCGCCGCACACGCGCGCATGAGCCTAGGTGCATGGCATGGCAGCTGCCCCATGATCCTATACAAATTCCGTATAAGTTTGGGCCCGATAGGTTCAGCTTTTGTCGGAACGTCGAAGAATTCGGTGCTTATAACTCAAGTCAATGATTGTGGCAAGTTAGTGACCCCGCCCCATGCCTTGAGCAAAGCGGCGTCATACTAAGAGACAATTGCAAGCCATCAGATTAGTTTATACCAGCCTGCGTCATGCATGGAAGGTACCATAGCATCACATGCACGCATGTCCCTTCCCAGTTGGACATGCCAAAGCAGCCGAAGCGGCCGAGGTCCGTTTTGACAAGAGTTGTATTCTTCATCTTTTTTAAGGGTCCATTGTGCAGGACGAGCCGTTCTCCTATTTGATATGCTAGAGTCGAATTACGAGCGGGCGTCTCTGCTTCCACGTTATGAACAGCACGAAGCATAGGAGAAACATCGCGAAGATATCGAGCAGCCCTAGCCGCAGCCGCGTCATCAAATAGATCTGGTGGTCCTCGGGCCGCCCCCGGAAGCCACGGGCCACCATAGCCTGCACATCAAAAGTTTTGGCTTTCTCAGAGAGACAGTCAAATTCATGGATGAAAAGTATCTGATACATGCAGCAGACGAGGTGCTCTCGGCATCGAGACAAAGTCGAATATTTCGAAGAATGACAATTGAAAGCAGTCAAAGGTGCTCGATTGGAACAAGAAGGCAATGCGCACCGCATGGTTGGTACTAGAGCAATCCAGCAGCATGTCCCCTCCGTTCAAGCAAGCAACTCGACGAACCGGCGTCCCGAATGTCGCCAGTAAAGTGGGGTAACGAGGGGAAAGCATCACACGGCAAGCGACAGAGGCGGAATCCGACACCCACCTGTGCAATCTGATCCGCCTGCGCAAAAAGGTTCTGAAAGAGCCGCCCCGCTAGCCCGGCCATCACTGCGGAGAGCACAGTTCGCGCGATTGACGGCGAGAATGATAGGAATAACCAGCGGAACGGGCCGCTCTATGCGCTTTCTGGGCTTTGATCGATCCCGCGTGATAATTAAAGTCCCTTCCGGCGTTCATTTTGAAGTCTTCGCCAACAGTCACGGCGAGAAATGGAAAGTTCGATACTGTTGACGGACGCTGCTACTGCCGGACAGTCTCTTTTGATATCGGAGAAAGGCCACAGCCGCTGCACCAAGTGACGTTTGCTTCCAGAAGTAGAGCCCTTCGAAACAGGCAAGGTCTGCTTAGCATTTCCTTAAATGAAAGAGGCACGCATGTTGGTGGTTCGACGACACGGTACAAGCGATGACTATGCGAGCATCACACTTCCGTTCTGTTAGTCTGCTTCCGGTTTCCGGCGACTCACTGTCCGTTGTGCCGACAAAGCCGAGCTTCTTCCAGTCCACCCCCCGAGCCACGACGCCGAGCGCCAGGTTGCGGACCTGCACCGTCGATGGAGCACGTGGGTTTCATCAGACGTGGGGAACCGCTTGGTCTAAGAGTTGTACGAAAGGTGCACCGTTGATGGCCCAATCTTGAATGTAGGTTCCCCCTTGGAAGCTTGTGATCTTTCTGCACACAAGGTCCACAAGCGGGGCCGCATCGAGGGGCAAAAAGGGCCTCGATTACCGCCCCATAAAAACGAGCTTGAGCCGTTCGATCGTCCAAGCCCACTTCTCAGACGGCTCAGGTTCTAATTTCAAGTCATGACAAAAGAGCCCCGCAAGGGAAAGGAATTTCAACCGTTGGAAGGTAAAAAGCAAATTTCGACGTTCCAATTCGAGGTGCGTCATAGCCGAGCCCCCTTGACACAGCAGAAGCAGCGGCAAAGGCCGTTCGATTTCCTACGTTCTGAATTGGACACTCCAGATGCGCTAAGACTGGTGCGCCCTATGTCGGAAGTTACAAGTCTGGACGGCAAACCCGAAATTGCCCATTGAACTATGTGAACGAATCTCTGGCCGCACACGCGCTTGTGTAACACATGTCGCACGCGGCTCGTTTCCTGATGGTGCTTTTACCGCGACATCGAAAACCGACGCGCACGAGTAGCCGCAGACTGGGTTAACCAAGTTTGGGGTGTGCCATTCCGGATTCAAAAAATCGTCCGAAATAGGGCGCACAAAATTTATGCCGCCTCATCGACAACCAGTCCCGTCAATTGCAGCAAGTAGATCAGCGAAACGCAACATCGTTCTCAGATGCTCACCTTTTGAGGCTCAAGCACAATCTTGAGCCTTTGATTGTCAAAATCCACCGGTTCGACAACCAAAAAGTGCCTCCTCACCTTAGCCAAACCGTCAAATTCATCAAAAGCAATTGCTTGGCCGTTCACTCGTCCAGTCCAATCACATGAAACTCCAGAAAGATAGTAACAAGCCAAGATAATAAGCTCCAACAAACACAAAAACCCCTAACACAAAAAACTTACCTGCTCCGTACCCATACCCACCCCAACTACCAAACTAGTCCTACCCGCCTTAGTGCTTTTACCTTGTTAACCGGCTGATCATTATCTTCCTTGATTTCAACCCGGATCACGGCCTCACCTCATCGAAGACGAGCCCCGTGAAGCGCAGCGAGAGCAGCAGCGTAAGCACGCCAGCATCTTTAAAATCCCTCAGTGTCAACGTGAACTTAAAGCTGTCAACAGCCAATTTCAGCACTCAAACATCACCATGCAGAAAATTACCTCATCGAAGACGAGCCCCGTGAAGCGCAGCGAGAGCAGCAGCGTGAGCGCGATCTCTGCGACGTTGACGCGCAGCAGGCGCAGCGGCTGCAGGAACCAGCGCAGCGACGCGACAAGCTCCTCGGGGGTGGTGGTCGTGAGGCACAGGTTGGCGCTCTGCATCACCTGTAGAGCATCGATAGAGCGGCAGCTTAATCTATCGCTTGGGTTCACTACTTTCAGGTGCAAGGTTATGGTCTTTAACACATTCCAAAAGACGTGGTCTTGGGTGTTTGTAGAGGGAGAAGACGATTTTCCTCCAATTCTGCTGTAGCCGAGGACAGCGCCCACTTACTTACAAGGCAGCAGTCCGAAGGGGCGACCCTCCACTCCAATCTGCAACTCGAGAGTGGAAAGGGTAATGGGCTCTCCGTAGAGAAGCTCGGCTTTTTGACAATCCGAACATCCAAACCCGAAGGCGCAGCCAACGTGCTGCTCTCGAAAGGAGGCTGACGAATGATGCCTCTCTCCTGATTTGTAAGGGCACATGCAAAACAGGCCCGAAATTTTTGATTGACTTGCCTCGAACCTTGGTCTCGACAGCAACACAACGTGAGACTTTTGTGAGGGCACAGTGCAAGGTGGGTCAGAGTCCCATGTCAGTTGATTGACGAGTGCACACATCAATAATTCGGTCTCGGCATCTTACAACGAGTCTCGCCCTGTCAAGCACATACTGTTGACTCCGGAACTTGGCGGCGACAATTCAATTACTTTTGTGAGAGGTGGTTGTTGCCACCTTCTAAGCGCGCCATGCTTACATCTAGCTGAAACGTCCATAGTGCTGACATAATGCTGATTAACTCTCGTTCTCCTTTTCTTCTTTCCCAGTAACACCAGCTAACGGCATGTGATAGGAATACAACAAACCGTTCCAGCAAGACTAACCGAGAGCCCAGATGAAGCGTAAAAAGGACCAGCCCCTCCTCAAAATGAAACTCAAGAGAGATTTTACTAAGCTTGTCGATGAACACGAAGTACAATACAAGCCAAAGAAGTACAGACTTCGAACCCTGCCGACCCAATCTCTCAACCACCCTTACCTGTCCCAATGCAGTCACCTGAACAACATCGTAGCTTCTTTCTCGAGTTGACTCTCACCATAGACGCGAGGCTGGCCGTACTATTCGCCAGCAGCAGCCCCTTTCACAAAACGGCCTTCCAGGAAAAGCAACAAACCATTTCGCAAGAGCAGAAGAATGAACCGATAAAGTTGCTGGAAGAAAGAACTCCGCTCACCATGAAAGCCAAACTCGCCGTACTACTCGCCAGCAGCAGCCCCTTTCTCGAAAGGGCATTCCATGGAAAAGCAGCGAACCATTCCGCAACAGCGGAAGAATGAACCGATGAAATGGCTGCGAAAACGAACAGTTCCGCTCACCATGAAAGCCAAACTCGCCGTACTACTCGCAAGTAGCAGCCCCTTCCTCGTCACCCGGAACACCCACCAGCTGAACAGCACATAACGGTACCCCCCCGTCGCGGGGGGAATCTCCGGCAGCCCGATCTGGGGGGGTGGCAGAGACTTGGGCTGAGCTAGCAACGCCACCCCGTCCGCGGTAAACGCCGTCATTACGAAGACAAATGAACAGAGGAAGACTAGGGGGCCGAGCTGTGCTTTCCAGAGGCGGCGGGGAAGGCAGAGCATGGAGAGGAGGAGCACGCCGGAGACGAGGCCGATGCGGACAGCGAGGGTGGAGCGGGCGGGGAGGAGCATGAGCGCGAATAGCCACACCTGTTAAGGAGGGTTAAGGAGATTCGGGAGAGGTTATGGGTCAGAAAAGGGCAAGACCTTAGTTTGAGAACAGAAGGGTGATCAGCCACACCTGCCGATGTTAAGGAATCTACGGAGGTTAGGGAGAGGTTAGGCAGGGGTCAGAATGGGTAAAGCTTAGGTTTGGGAAGATCAGGGCGAACAGCCACACCTGCAGGGTTAAGGAGATTGGAGGCGGTTAGGGGGAGGTCAGGGGTCAGAACAAGGTAAGACCTTAGTTGAGAACAGCAGTGTGATCAGCCACACCTGCCGAGGTTAAGGAGACTTACGGAGTTTAGGGGATTTGTTGGGGTCACAATGGGAATTCCTTGGTTAGGAACATCAGGGCGAACAGCCACACCTGCAGGGGGTTAAAGGAGGGGTCAGCACATATGAGGAGGTGAGGAGGATCGGTCGGGATGGGGGAACCGTAGATTGCATCACCAGGGCAAATAGCGACACCTGCAGGTTTTGAGGGGAGTTAAGGAGGTTAGGGAGGGTCTAGAAGTAAAGGTCAAATGGGGGGACCTAAAGTCAAAGCATCAGGACGAAGAGCCACACCTGCAGGGGGTTAAGGTGGGGTGAGAAGGGTTAAGACGTGGTGAGCAGGATGGAGGAGGGGTGCGTAGGATTTAGAAAAGGGGTGAGCAGGATTACGGTTGAAAAGATTTAGCCGGACTAAAGAGGGGTCAGCGGGGTTGAGGACGTTAAGAAGGTTTCAGGAGGACTGGTTTAAGTGGGCCGAAACTTGGTTCAGCTTACCAGAGCGAACAGCCATACGGGGGCTTAAGGTGAATTGTGGTGGATGTTACATTTGAAAGAGGGCAAAAGTGTACAAGAGAGGGTCAATTAAGAAGAAGTATGAGACACAGGCACGTGCGCAGATAAGAAGCCATGTCAAGGACTTATGGATAATGGAAATTGTCCGCTAAGTAGGTAGGAAAGAAAGTGGGCACTTGCCACAATTGCCACTAATTTGGCCAGCGCTTGTTTTGGTTGATTGGTGCGCCAATCCCATTCTGTGCAAAGCCTTTGACAAGATTACGGTGGTGCTCGATTCCAAACTTTGCAGAGAAAGCTTCCATGTTTACCAGCAAAGAGTTTCATGCACGGGACCTTGGACTCATTCAAAGGTCGCAACGCGCCCCATATCAACGCATGCCCCCTTCCAAGGGTGCAAGAGCTGATCATATCAGCTTGTGTCAACTTTGTCAGGAATAGACCCACTGGATAGCTCTTACATGAAGCTCTAGCTTCTTCCGCAACGGGTGGACGAGAAGCAACCAGCACGCACTGCATGGGCCTAGAGCAGAGCTTTGAACCAATCGGATATAACTAAGCCGGCCGGCGCTCAACCACTGTCCCCGATTGATCCTGTTGATTCCAAAAACTGTCCGGCGGTATGTTTATTCCTTTTCTAGTACTAAAGATCCGTAAGAACCATGTCAGTTTTCCCTCGAAAGAGAGTCAAAGGACTGAAAGAGGCTGTCAATGGGTGCACCACCACCCTTATGTGTTATCTGATGACCTTGGCGCCTTTTTTAAGGGGGAAACCCGTTCGCTTCCATGAGTTTGTGCACCTGCCAATCAATGTACTTTTCACAGCGCCACACGAAAGATTTTTGAGTTGCAAAACGGCCCCCAGCCTCACCTGCTTCACCCTTGGATCCAACCGGTGCAGAGCCGTGACCGGTTCCGAAACGTAGATCCCGATGGGCGCCTGCGTCGTTTTGAGCAGCGACGCCATGACCTTCTCCCCCACCTTGTTCTGCGTCCCCAAGAAGCCCTTGAGCACAATGCCCCATAGCGGAGGCTTCTCCTCATCATCGCTTTCTTCTTGAGTGGTGCTAGTACGCCCTGAGCGGGAAGCGCTGACTTGAACCGGTGTCCGAGGATTCCCATGCATTCGGGGCCTTCGTTTCGGGCCCCGACCGCCCCGCCAGAGAATGGAGGAAAGGGGAGTATTGCCTGCGACATTTTGATGCAATTGTCTAGTAATGCTCCTCAATTGACTCTTGTCTGCATATAAGAAAGGCTGCGAGCTGGCCGCGAACTTTTGCTGATGTCGTTGAGACAGCGGCGGCTCAAAGCACGTGCAACGAGCACCTGCCGCCGCCGCTGTGGAAGCAGACGCCATGCTTTCTTCTCCTCAGGCACGGGCGTTTAGCAAACCTCTACTTTGTACAGTCTTGCTGGCACCGCCATCACGGCCCATGCCTACATCTTTCTGCTACTTCGAAAATTATAGGCCCGGGCGGCCGCCGTCAACTACAGCTGAGCCTGCGCGCGGCGGGCTCACCGCGGCCGCGCTTTCACATTTTCTATAACCGCGAGCGCTTGCCAGCTGTGGCAGTCTTCCGGTCGAGTCACCATGGGATTGGAGAGGCACAGGGATGTCATGCTCTTCAGTACTGCACATGCATGAAGGGTGGCCACGATTATGCAAGAATTTCCGCGTTTAACCCTCAATGGTTGAATGGTCGCCATGCCAGATTGCATCAGATTGCCAGGGCCGCTCCATGCTTCAACGAGAACAGAAGTTGAGAGCAGTATACTTCAATGTCATTGATGGCTGAATTGCACCAAAGCAAGTTTGAAAAGGTGCCCTTTTTGCCTCATGGAGGTTCAGTGCTCGCTCGACCCGTCGTCCCGAAGATGCACGTAGACCGGTGTGTACAAATCCTGTGCCCGTTTGACAAGGATGTTAGTAAACGCTCCATCATCAACCCATGGACACTGTGACTAATAACGGCGTATTGAAAAGAGACTCGCACATGGTCGGGCCCTTCGGGCCTTTAGTGTCTATATACAACATGCAGGCAGTCCGAGCATATAGCAGGCGCACTCGTAAGTGTTCTTGAAACGAGACGTCTATCGATTGAAGGTTGGATGATCATGTCAACCAGGAGTTAAATCACTGAGAACTCCCGCTACTATTCAAGGCGCTGATGGCCTTGGACAAACTCAAGGCAGACGATGTATTCTGTCAATTCCAGAAGGAATTTGATGCATTCGAGATCCATCACAGATCCTTGAAAGCAACAAGCTCGACCAATCGAGCTCTGACTAGGCGGAACTTGACGGTGACTCCTTGTTATCCGGGAGCGCAGCCGTTTCATTTAAAAGTGGGGTTAAGTCTACCCTATGTAGTTCACAACGACAAGATGTAGGACGATGTTCGCCACAACCCAATCTGCAAAAGCTCTTTCCGGGGGCACATCCTTGAACTCCTTGTTGTCCTTGTTGACTTGCATCCTCAAGCAAACTGCAAAACAGGTTTGACCAGCTTGTGTATCCTCAATGCGCATCGAGAGGTCCATCAGAACGGAGTTAAATACGTGGTCAAACAAGCAATGTCAAGCTGAAGAAAAGCGCATACCGCGAATACAATTTCGGAGGCAGCCAGATTGTAGAAAACGCGTCACGATATCTTAAAAGCCAGTCTTGTCGAATCTGCCTTTCTTTCTTTGGGAAGATTTCCAGGCAAGCCGTTGGAAAAACCTACCTGCCAAAACTGCAGTCCCGATGCTGGACAGGAACCCGGCCAGGAAGGAGTTGAAGGGGAAAGAGCCCACGAGACCAAGGTAGACAAACTGCAAAGACATGCCACCTGTCTTCAGAATGTAACCTACACCATCAATCGGTCCATGGACTCGCTCACTATTACAAAAGCAACTCAGAATGCTTACTCCCTGCACAGATTCAATAGTTGCATTCGGTTTAAACTACGGGACATTCTGACGCTAGAAGAAATCGCAGTAGTCTGAATGTGCAAAAACTTCAACACAATGCGACGTGAGACAGTGGGGATCATCCACCTGGAGCGAATTCTCTTGTACTTTACTCTCACCTGAATAAGGGCTGTCGACAGGGCATACAAGATATAAAGGTCAATGAGCTGCAAAACCAAAGCGTCTCATCAGTACAAGCAAGTGCTTTCCAAGGCCTCAGCCATGAGTCGCTCAATCCATCCAAGATTAATGATGCAGAGTTATTCACGGCCAGAGCTTCATGACGCAACACAAAGGGCCAGGCATGATAGTGCTGGGTTGGAAGTGCCATCTATACGACTAACATTTTGTGATTGAGCTAGATGAGATCTTGGCAAGTTAACAGGTGACTGGAAAAGGCGTGTGAGCAAGTTTCGATCCCAAGGTGGTAGAACTCCCCTCGGTTGATGGAGAACATCAATGTAGCGACCAAGTGACAAATTAATCCGACTGGTCAAAAAGCAGCTAATCCTTGAAATGGTGGCGACCATCACACGGCAGTGGTCGTGCTTGAGGAGCAGTCTTCTAGTAGAACTTCTAGACCCAAAGACATGAAGAAGTATTCTTTAGTGCAACCGCAGCAGATAAAAGTAGTGCTTCTTTCTCTGCCGGCTGAGCTCTTGATGCTGTGACGTCAACGACAAGAGCATTGGAAAGTTGGGGCTCAAGAGGTTTGCCTTGAAACTTCCAGGGCTAACTCAAGGAGCAGCAATGATATTTCCATCCAGCGTGATCCCCTAATTGAACACCGACTAGTGGCACCATTTGGCCCACCTCCATTGGAAGATTAGAGGCCACTCACCTTGAGCCGCAACGGAGTTTTGCCATACTCTGTGGAGAATGTACCAATCACTGCTTTCAGATCGTGAAGCGGACCCGCCATAGTGGAGCAACTAGAGGAACACAGCTTCTGCTGAAGAACACCCTCCAAGTCCCCTTTGATCTCAAACCTGTGCCAACACGAGCAGCTTCTAGAGAGATGTTGGGGCTAAGAAGACGTGTTACTTCCGCGAAAACAAAGAGTCCCTCCTCGATTGCACCTTATTAATGCACCTCTGCTAAACGTTCACGTCAATCCCGTCAATCGAGTGTCCTTCCTCCCTTTTGCACTAAGAACGTCTTTCTTCAAAAATTAATGTCATCCACCATATGCTACCTCTATCATAACAAACTAGCTGAAACAAACTAGGGAACGTGAAAAAATCGTGAAACCTTGGTCGTGCGTTAGGCGTGCGAGAATTCCGGTAGAGGTTTCATCCACAACCTGAAGTCTGCTCTCAGGGATGTACAAGGTACGGTTTGTACACGAGGGCTGGGTGTACAGGGTGCCAATCATTAGCACCGTAAAAGTGGGGCAATTCTTAATCGAAGTTTTGTCCCAGATCTGCCCATTTTGCCCTAGTATTCTGGCGACTGATTGATGGACCAGATGGGTACACAAAAATACATACGTATATTCACGCGCCGTGTCCAAGCCTTGCGGTTCAGAGTTTCTCATGTACAGTCACAAATCCAACTGGTTCAACAGTACCCAGGCTTTCAAATTCAACGTTTTCAATAAATCGGCAAGGACAGGCGAATCTACGAAGGAGCGCTCCTGCAAGCTGACGTCACTGAGATCGGACGATCCACATCCAAAAATAATTTTTAATCTCAGATTTTACAGGCCGCCGGCTCTCTCTGTATAATTTTTTCTAACAATTTACAAATGCCAGACTTCCTTCATTGGACTTCCTCTAGGCGCCAGCTGGAATGTGCTGTATGCAGGAAGCGTCCGCAATATTGAACAAATCGGAGTTACATTGTCCGAAACGGAAGTGACGCCGTACACCATTTTCAAACGCCCAGAGAAAGAAAGAGCTGCACTTGGTACAGCTTCCCAAATCATGAATGTCCGTAGATTTTGCTACCACAGGTGATGTCAGGAAGCGGAGCGCTGATGCGTCGAGCCATGGCGACTCTATCTTGATGTCAATGAGTTGGTTAGTGCCAGCATTCTTGGCTTGCCTGTGAACGGCTCTTGAGCCTTTTCTACTGGTCACCTGCCTTGAAGGGGCTGCAGCAAGATCTGCTACCATCTGGGACCATGGTCGCGGAAGTTGGGCGCTATGCTTTAACGCCAGTGATGACAACCTCCAAAGGGATGGAGTATTCGGTTCACAGTGAGTCTCCACTGTTGACTGCACCTTCTAATCCCGTTTGATTCCTGTGACGCACTGTTTTACTTGCAGAGGTTTCTCCACCTCTTGAAGTGGTCGTGGAGCCAGATCAAAGTCCTAGTGATCACTCCTGATTTGAGAGTGGCTGATGCCACCAACGCTTATGAAGGTGGTTCATAAGTTTTGCTGACTAGAACGTGGCGCCAGGCATTGGTCCAGTCCAGTGCCCCTCTTTGTTGTTATAAGGCCTTCAGTGCAGATGCAGAGACCAGCATCAGTCGGTCGTCTAGTCTAAGCATAGATGTTGTCTCTGACGGTGATTGTCTGTGTAAAAAGTTGGCGTAAGCAACATATACCTGTGACCAGTGACAGCCATAGAACTGGGGGTTTCATTGTGTAAGATTGACAGAGTTGACTGGGGGCGCTGTTGCAAAAGCTGGGATCCATTCTCCAACAATCACACAGATAGTGGCAGATGCTTTGTTGTCAGGAGTGGTCTACACTAGTTTGACTGCATACGTTTTGCAAATTTGCGTAACCGTACTCTTCCCTCCTTCCCTGCAAGTTGTCTATACTGCAACAGAATGAGAAACCTGTCTGCCAGTTCTACAGCCCGCCCCCCACCCCCGTATATGTCGCTTCTGTGGAAACATACTAAGAGACCTGTTTGCTGCTTTCGCAGCCTGCCCCCGGCAGTACAAGAGCGATCTGGAAGCGATCTTCCCTGGGGTGCGAGTAATGGACCTCCTGATCATCCCCACGTGTCAAAACTCAGAGGTGGATCTTGTCAGGACAGGGGAGGTCATCGAGGAAGAGAAAGACCGGCTCCTCGAGATTGTGAGCACGTCCTTTGAATCCTCTCTTTTTGAAGTATCATTTTGGTGCATTTAAGCAATTTTGCCTGTCAGCTTTGCTCAATGTCAGGCCCCCTATCTCAACTCGCAAATTGCATCGCAAAACCCACAAGCGAATCCCCACCCGACCCCGACCCAGAAATCAAAGCACAAAAAGAACACAAACTTCAGTTTCCTGGCTCGTCCTTCTTGAGTAACTGCAACGGCCTCCGACGAGCTCGCTTCACTAACCTTTTCTTTGGGGCCTCTTCAGTTTGTTGACTTCGCCAAGCAAGTCTGCGAGTTGCTGATTAGTCAAGGGCATTGGGCGGACTACCTAGATCCAGCATCTGGATTACCAGTGAGTTATTTTGTCGAAGAACAAACCGATATGACGTTACATGTCAGTTCGACAAGCTTTTCGTTTGTTCATTGCATCTCAAAGCACCCCTCTTTTGTACCTAATCCCACTGCGCTAAATGGTTGGTGCATCTCGAGAGGGTTAGTCGTCCGTACTTGTGCTTCCTGTCTGCACCTGACATCTTGATGTAGGTACCAGAAAAATTCAATCGAATCTTGTTTTCGGTTTGCAGATGATCCACAAGGACACAAACACCGTGTACAGTGAAGTGGATGCTCTTTCCACTCTACTACATTATACATGTCAGAACGCCGGTTGCTGTAAAGTTATTTTGCATCCGAAATGGGGCAGCTCCGTGTATCCGGCAACACTCTTTGCAAAAGCCCCCTTAGAGGTCGTCTTAGAGGCTATCAATAAAGTAGACGAGCAAACATCAAAACCGGCAACCAGAATACCTTAATATTCATGGATTTGGTGTGCTTGGTCATCACCTCCGCGAAGGCCTGTACAAGCCATGGGGGAGTCTCACTCCAATATCCTGACTTTATGCTATTATTGCTAACTTTCTGTCGAAAGCGATCCTGAGAGCCAGTACTATATCAAAGGTGCTCAGTCGAGTTCATCCACCAGCTGTCGCGCCATGTCAAAGATATCTTGTGCATGCATGCGAATTTAGGTTGCTGCGTGGGCCCGCGGCCGCCCAGAGCTACTAGCTCTTTGATTTTAATTGCTTTTGTTCAATCCAGTATTGACCAGGGCCAATTGCTGTCCGTATATTTTGATAGCGCCATGTGCATGTGTATAAGGTCCAGCCGCCTAGCAGCACATGTTCATAAATCGATTCTTGATGCATGCGTGATGCGACGGTACATATGTCGCTTGCCCCTGTATCAATGGAATATGCATATAGGCCTGCCGTCTGGCATGGCACATGCATCATGTGGCATGCCAGCTAAGGACACGTACCGCCGAGGATACCCTGGTCATTGACTATTGTGCGGCTGGCTAGGTCTTTGAAAGCCGGAGACTCATTGATTCTAGTATGCGCGGTCACTGATAAAGCGGTTGCTCCAAGTACATGTGGACATGTTTTGATTTCAAGAGTCGAAACGCTTGATTCGGCCATGTGCGTTTTAAGATCGTCGTCAGAACGACATACTCGTGCTCATTGAACATGTTTCGTACTTGATCGATACAACAAAGCTGAAATTGTATTCTTGGCATATGCGGAATAGAGCGATCGCATAAGAAGAGAGACGGCCGAGGTCACTCGTGTCATAGTGAGGCCGGTCCTTCCACAATCCGCGGCACAGCTGGTGGAGCAAACACGACACGAGCCTGGCTCATGTAGCGATGGCTCATGCGCGTCGGCAGGCTCGCGTCCTTCTGCATGTCTGCAATTCTGACTACGATCGCACTAGTGGAAATATGAGCAATCTCCGCCGCTTCGTTCCAAATCGTGACGCTTCACGGACAGAAGAAAGCAAGCGTGCTCTACGTCATCCTTCTTCAGTAGCTTCAAGTTATGATGTGGGCGGCTGTTTCAAACCAATGAAGCTCTCGTCACTCATTTGCGATTCCGGACGCTTGTACCCTTCCCCAAGGTAGTATTGCCGGACGAAGGGATTCCGGACCAGCTCCTCCGGCGACCCCTGCGCCATTACCTGCCCCTGAAACACCATGTACGCACGATCGCAGATCTTGAGCGTCTCCGTTACCTGGTCGGGCAAGAAAGCAGGTTTGAAATCACCTCCTTCTTCGAGCAACTCAAGTCAGTTTTGAGCCAACGACTTCGCCCTCGAAGAAGACCTGAGTCTCGGTTGAACGTTTTCAAACCTCTTCAGTTAAAGAGGAAGAGGAGGATGTCAGATTGAACGAGGTGGGGTGAGACGCGTCGTAGACGCGAATTGGAAGTCAGCGGCCCACTTCGGCGGCACAGCTTGGTGCCAAGGCAAAGCATTCTTGGACTCCTGTCAGGACTTGCTGGCGTCATCAACAGCCGGGATGACGTATCAACAAAGAGCTCACGTTGTGGTCGGTGATGAGGATGCCCATGTGCAGCTCGTCGCATAGCTTCCGCAGCAGGGCCTGGATTTCCGCCACGCCGATCGGGTCCACCTGCGGAATGGCGGAACGGCGGAAATGGGGCTGAGAGCACAGGTCGCATACATGAGAAAACGTTTCCAATTGACCTTCAACGTCCTTCCCGCAAACGGCTACGTGGACGTACAACGGCTTTGCCGTAGGTGATTCGTCAAAGCACATGTGGCCCTGGGTCTGAGTGCACATGTGGCAGTGCTCTTTCAGTGACGAAAGCGTGTGGTAACTGCTTGGCAGGCAGAAAGGACAAGCTGGTTTCTATGCGAGAAAATTTCCAAAGGCTTGATATCACGTGTCCAATTATGAGAAGTCGTGATTCAGAATCTGAGTAAATCTTGCTGGCCCCGCGCAAGCGCGCGCTTCAGACTGCACAAAACGCAGTATCAGCCGTCAATGATATTAAGAATTTATCAACGGACGAGCTTCTTCACGAGTCACAAATCAACACTCAAAATGAGGGTTCCCCTTGCACTACGGTTTCCCTTTCTGCACTACTGCACGGGTCATTCCTGCCTTTGGTCGGTCCTTAGGTGCACCTGAGCACAAAAGAGAGCGCCGGACAACGTCAGCTCCGTCTCCCTCGCCCACTCAATCTAATCACACTCACTTTTCAGAAGTAAGCACCGATCCAATTCCTTAGAGACCCCAAGAAGAACTCGGAAGGGCGTATGCTTTTGTTGATCAGAAAAGGGTTAAAGACGTTTCAAGACGTTGGCTGACGCGAGAGCGAATGGTGACGAGACCTCTGATGCGTGTTGGCTTTTTCGGAGCGTCCGCTGCCATTGGACCATGGGTGTTTTCCTTAACGTTGAAAACTCGAATGTTATGGAACTCGCTAACGTCGTTGAGACGACTATCACGAAACCTTACATGACGAGTTTTGATTATAAGGCTATAAGGTTGACCAGATTAAGGGCCTTGCCCATAAGCGCCTGACTTTGGCAGCGGTTCCGTCGCTCACCCCTGCGAAAGGCTCGTCCACTAGCAGAATCCTCGGCGGGCCTCCGGAGCAGTTCGACGCGAGCGCTCGCGCGAGCTCCTGCAAAAGAACGCAAGAAGCTAAGCTCGATCCAGCAAGTTTGAAGCGACACCCTCCACAAGGGAATCCTGGACAAAACCTGGAGGCGTTTCGCATTTTACGTCAGAAGGGACTGGTTCATCTAGTTGGACAGTTTCAGATCAATCAGTCCAACCTTCTGCTTCAGGAACAGAAAACACCAAAGAAAGAGAACGAACGTCGACTTACCGTTCTCCGTCTTTCTCCTCCCGACAGAGCCGCCCCCTTCGTGTGCTGCACGTGCGTCAGCCGGAATTCCGCTAGGAGCTCCTCGGTCCGCCCCGCGTGTTCCGCTCGGGGGACGCCCGTCTCTTGGAGGATGAGCAGCAGGTTGTCGCGCACTGAGAGGCCCCGGAACACGCTGGGCTCCTGCGAAACTATAGACGTTTTTGGCTGACGAGGAGCCTCATGGAGCCTTTGACTTCGATGGGCGCCGGGGGAGGGAAGAGACGAAATGATTAATTGGCGGAATTCAGTGTAAGCTGGTATATGAATTGGACAAGCAGGGACGAAACGAGGCCCCGAAACACGCTGGGCTCCTGCAAAAGGAGTGTTGATTTTGAGTAAGGAGGGGCCTGGCACGAGAGCGGAAGAGCACATAGCGGGCCGGCAAGGTGATGTGGGGAAATGGAAGAACTACGAAAATTTGACAATTGGTAAAGATCGACAGGGAAGATGTAATGAATTTGCTTCTAGGAGTGGACGTACTGGGCTCACGCAAAGAGGATGGAAAAGTAAAAAGAGGCAAGACAAACGGCGATGATTAAAAAGGAAGGTCCGGAGTGCAATGGGTGATAACGGATCGTTGGCCGTGAAAAGCGCCCTCATTGCAGAACGTGAAGGTTTCCAGAGAGGCAACAAAGTTGCCCATAAGTAGGGCGGGCCTTGTCAAGAGTCAGAATCCTCGTCTGCTAGAATGCCAACGGCTAAAAGTGCGCGGAAAGCATCTGCCAACGGTGGATGAGTCATGACTGATAACGGAAAGCCTGAGCCTTCAAAAGCACAACAACAAGAAACATGCATGAAAGAAGCCAACGAGCTGAACCACACAGCCCAAGCCCTTAGCTTTATGAACGATTCGGGGGGTCGAGATATCTCCCGATGATTGTTTTCCTATACTGAAAGATTTCGCTCGTTCTTAATTGGTTTTCTCAAAGCGAGTTGCCGACACGCTATTCTTCGTACAGAGGACTTCGCGACAGGCCTCGAGAAATCGAAAACTCGAGATCAATCATGAAGAGCACTCCCAGCCTGCGATCAGCGGCCACTTTCAAGGGGCGCGATGAAAGCTTCGAGAAGTCGACATCAAACAACGTCACATGGGGCTCCATGTGGCCCCTGTAGAGACAACCTCTGCGGTCTTGTGTGAGACACTTCGAACAGATTCGATAACACTTTCTTGAGCAAAGTTGTACGTTGTAGATGAACGAAGTCACTTCCTCCGAAAATTACTCCCTCCATGCTTTATCACGCAAAGCGATTCGACGGCGATTCGACCACGGTCACGGTCTCTGGCAAGATTACGGACCTGTGTCAGGTAGCCGACTCCGAGCCTGGCTCGTGCGGCCAGCGGCAGAGCGGTGATGTCCCGCCCATTCAGCAGCACGCAGCCTTGAGACGGGCGCTCCCGCCCCACCGTGATGTTGAACGTGGTGCTCTTGCCCGCGCCGTTCGGACCTAGCAGCCCGACCTGAAAAAAGGCAGAAGACAGGCTCTGCTGAACGGGTATCCGCATTATCGATATAGTCCTGAGACGCCGTCATATCGACCAAATTGCTTCGAAAAGGACGTCTGAAAATCGTCTTGAGTTGCTCGGAGGATTGTTGAGAGTTGTCAGCAGACCATATGAGTACCGTTCGGAATTGGGCCTTCCAAAAACTGTCCGAGTCTCTTTCCAAGTGTTCGGAGTACCCTGTAGAGCCAATCTTTGAACCTGGATCCGCGATCCGGATGGACTTTGGGTCCAGACGGAGAAGGCTACATCGACCAAAATGGACCAAGCACAGGCCCCAGTGTTCTCTGCGTGATAGCAGAGAACAAAGGCAGAGGGATCCCGATTGAGAAAAGGTCGCTTGGCCTTCTTTTTGCAGTCTGGCAACGGCTCCTCAGTCCGTCCTAGGTCTTATCTTCTGGCGTGGCTCTATCAGCTATCAGCAGCAACGTAGCGGAAAACCTTCCAAGTGTGATCATGAAGGTTGTGAAGAGAGTCCAGCTTTCAAGTCCCTCAGACCTTCATATCTACTGGAATAGAAAGGAAACTCTCACCACTTCGCCCTGCTTCACGTTCAGGTTGACCCCATCCACGACAGCTCGCTTCCCATACACTCTGCTGACGTCTCGGAGGTGGATCTCAAAAGGGCCAGCACGAAGCTCCTGCATACAATCGTAGTGTTTGTATCATCCCCAATGCAATAGTTTCCTGAAAAGAAGACGTTTTTCTGAAGCCATATCATTCGGCAAGGACTGGCGTCCTGTCCACCTTCAAAGCAGTTGGTGTAGCTTGTGTGCCGTGATACACAAGAAAAAGAGAAACTGGCCAAACATTAAAAGAGTGATACAACAAGCAAAAGAGGACCACTCTCTCAATAGTATGTGTTAGGATCAAGCTCAGTGCCTTCTCGCAAGCAGCTCTGGTCTCTCCTGCGGGAAAACACATCCACTCAACACAGAAACTTTGATTTGTTTTTTGGATAATCAAATCATACACATGGATAGCAATCCTTCTGAAATTGGCCTTCCGTGCTCACACTTTTAAGGCTGCTTTCTTGAGATGGAGAGCCTGCCTGCTGTTTCCTGGAAAACAATCTGAAGAAGCGGGCGACCAAAGAAGGCGTGGGCTCTTCGTTGGGCTGGGTTTTGGGTTCATCCATCATGCAGCGAAGATTGCTTCCTCGCTGGGTTCTTGGATCACAGCATCTACCAAGCAGGAGTTTTGATGGCCTCGCAGATCTATCGCTAGCTCGCCTGCTGAAACTTTGGCATGTGAATGGGTTGATGCCAACCAGAGTGCTGATGCTAGTATTGAGAGGTGCATGGCTTTTTGGACTGGTCGGCACATGGGCCGTCAGTGCAGAGATTTGCTCCATGAGGCATTGCTTGTGATGGTTCTGCAATGCACCCCCTGTTCCAGCAAATTTGGACCTGGTTCTCGCATTGAGCATAACACACTGCTGCCTGATGCTTTCATAACGTGTTCTTTGACAAGGGGGCACCTTCACAATTGGCAGCGTTCTGACACAGGAGCCAGCAACACCAGTCAGTGGCAAGTGCTGAAATGCATTGCTCTGCTGCTTGAAGCTGCCCAATGAAACCATTCCTCAAAAGCGCCTTCCTAATCTGCCAAGCAAGGGCCCAGCAAAACGGGGCTCAATGGGCTCAGCTCGAAGGACTTCAAGCTGGCGCACCTGCTGATAGCCAAATATGCTCAGGCTTGCGGAGATCTCTTGACAATGAAAGCTGTTCACAAGCTGCTCAGTGCTCTTCTTCGCTCAGGAAAACAATTTGACTACTAGTAATTTGCACCTTGCTCCTTGCATCTGACTCTCACTGTCAGCTTGTCAGCTTTCTCCACACTCTCGAGTCTCCTCGGTCGTTGAGCTGCAAAATTCTCCCAGAAGTGCTCCCGTGCAATCAAGAAACGTCTCTCGAGGCGGTCAATATCCTCGGGTGTTTCTCGCCCATCTCACTGAGAACCGGCAGCCCGTGCCAAAGGACCGTCGAGTCTTTATTCTCCAAATTTCAAATTTATTCGAGATCAAAAAAGTCGTGCACAGAACACAGCTGGCAGCAGATGCAAGCTAGCAGATTGCATGACAGGCACTCAAATCGACAGGCAGGTCCTCTTTGCCAGCTCCAAATTGCTTACCTAGTCCTGTTCTAGGAAGTGCTGGATGAGCATGATTCACGCGAGCAGCGCAGCTTGTACTTCAGCACTCAGCTTCACTCTCTTGCAAAATGTAGCTTGTGTTCCTTCAAATGGTCAATCTAGTAGAGCTCAGATTGTATGCGGAAGAAGTGGCAAGATCTGTTTACTTTGGAGAGAGCTTTGTTCAACGAAGGGAGTCCGCGGGTGTCACGTTCCGAGACGATCTCTTGTTGGTTTGCAAGCTGAGCTGCGGAAGCGGAGGTCACAGAGTACTGATGTGAAGGGACTGCAGTCAAAGGCATCTGCAGGAATGGAATCATCATCTATTAATCAAGGTCAGCAGACTGGAGGCGCTTTGACTCACCAAAGACCTGAATGCTGAAGGATAGTCTTGTGGATTGAGCACCAGCTGCAGATGCACCGTCTCTGATCGTAGAACCACAGGAAGTTGAATATCAGCTGGGGTGAGTTCGGTCGTCCCAAACAGGAAGTGCAAGGGAGGGGCCCCCAATCCCATTGCAAGTTTTCAGCTTCCCTCCTGTCATCTTGGATGATCCAGAATTGCTGATATGTAACTGATTCCATGCAAGCTGTGGTGATGCTCTCAGCTTGAGTTTGAGAACAGATTTATCCTGAGGATGATCGATCTGGCTTGCACGAATGCAGAGGTGATCGAGATTGCAAACAAGGAAGATGAGAAGCTGGCTGGAGTGCTGGAAGGGCCCCCAGATGGAGATGTGGTCATTCTCTGCCACGGCTTCCTCTCCTCTAAGCGAAGCAGTACCCTTCAGACAATTGTACCTGGACTCGTGGAAGCGGGGTTCGGGGTCCTCCGCTTTGACTTCAGGTGAGGAGAATCTGTGACTGCGGGATGAACTTTAAGATTTGCTTTGACAGCCTTATGCAGCTTAAATAAGCATCCAAAGGCATCATATCCAAGCCTGAAAGAGTCAGGAGAAAGCACCCTAGAGTCTTTGTCCACAAAGGACTCTACTCCATGATGATGTTCAACCTGCTCCTTCTGCTATATCCTCAGCACCTTTCCTACCGCGCAGACCGCGTAGTCTATTCAAAGTGAAGCTGAAACACTTTGAAGAACCATCCTTCCTGATGACAATGTCAGATGGAATTTCTGTCATTGTCGGTGACATGTGCTTGGCTCTGAAGATGTCCTGCTCTTTCCTTCTGCTTATAGTATTGTTTAGTAGTGTGCTGTAGAGAACGTTACTAAGAGCCAACTGGTGTGTTGACTGCAGTGGCAACGGGGAAAGTGGAGGCGAGTTTGAGTTTGGGAATTACTGGAAGGAGGTGGAAGATCTACGCTCAGTTGTTGGATTCGTACGTGGGGTCAAGAAGCGGTCTGTCAAAGCCGTCCTTGGCCACAGCAAAGGTGATTCAGACGTAAAAATTGCACGAGTTGCAACAAGCATCAGGAAAAGATCAAGAAAACTGCCGTTTCCCTGTGTTTTGCCCACAACGAATTACAAAGAAACAGCACTGCAAATGATATACGTCAGTTCCTTCTGGACTGGCCTGTTGAAAGTGAGCGACAGATTCTGGTTTGTAAAAGTCGAATGCAAAGGAAAAACAAAGGATTGCACAGACTAGATTCAAGGTCAAGATGCCGTCCTTTCCGTTTCCTCCTTTTACTTTCTCAAGGTCCCTACCCCAGTTCGTTTTCGTTCTAGAATGAAGCACAGTCACACTTCACAAGATGCCTTCCACAAGCAATTACTTGGGTACAGTACAGCAGTACGTGTCAACCTTGAGCTAAATTCAAGACTCTCGCGACAACTAACCTGTCCTAGTTCGACTGTGTGTGTGACTGTACATGGTACAAAACTCGCAAAGTCTGTACATGGTCCAACTCGCAAAGTCTTACTGCATGACTGTCTTATTCAGGCGGTGACGTCGTCATTCTATATGCTGCCAAGTACGGGGACGTCCCAATTGTCGTGAATGTTTCCGGAAGGTTCGACCTGTCTCGAGGAGTGGAAGAACGGTTCGGGAAAGAGGGCCTGGCAGCAATTGCGGAACATGGTTATTGGGACGTCAAGGATTCACAGGGTGAGTTTTTCCTTCCATCAGCATCCCTTTCCGGTGGCTTTCTTTGCCAGGTTTTGCGGCAACCCCCTCGTTGTTTCAATCAGGCGCGATCAGTCAAAAGGCTTTGTGTCTTCCACGTAGTATAGGAGGCGAATCACAAACATCTCTGCATGTTATCGGTATCCGATGCTGCCTGGCACCACTTGTTGAGTCGATGGATTCAATGTTATATGGACGTAGCGGTCCAAATGGTGGAAGCACGCAAGACCACAAAGCGGATCCTCTTTCCAATGACATGTCTGCTTTGACCCTCGAACACAGTTTAGGATGAGAGGTGGGGTGATTGCCTCTTAAATAGAGTATGGCTTGCGAATGAAATGCGCACCTCTCTAGCAAAAGGGCGCTATGATCTGTGCCCCAATCACGGCCTTACTGCAGACCTGTCCGTTGGCGAGTCTCACGAGATTTCGGAAGATACTCGATCGAGTAGGAGACTCACTTGCTCGTCATGTCTGTGCTGAGCAATCTATAGCTCGTGCAGAGCCCATCGCCAATGAATACAAGCTCCAGTTCGACCTCGAGCACAACCCGTCCTCTTTGTTGCAGGTGCCGTAAATTACCGGGTAACCAAGAAGAGTCTAGAAGAACGACTGTGCATCAGCATAGAAAAAGCAGCTCGAACGATTCAGAAAAACGTTCGTGTGTTGACCGTGCACGGAACTGCGGACGAAACCATACCCGTAGACGATGGCAGGTCCTTTGATAAGGTCATCGCAAACCATGCGCTCGTTCTTGTCGAGGGGGCTGATCACCGATACTCAAGACATAGGGAAGATTTGCAGCAGATTGTGTGCAGCTTCATAGAGTCAAGTGATTGATCGAGTAGGTCTGGCCGTTGTCAGATTCAATGGTACACGCAGTTAACTCCGCAGCTAACCCATTCGCTCAGTGCTAGACTGTCAAACTGCATACTGCCAAGACCCCGTATTCACGCATGCAGTTCATGCCGGGTTGCCAATAACATGCAATCATATGCATAAAGGCCAGACTAACTATAGCACATGGACGCGTTTCGTGGTCATATCCGACACTATGTTTAAAGGATATTGGCATACACATTAGGATCGGCGTGTGGTACGTTAGACACGGCATTGACGTATATGTTATTCATAGCTCGTCAAATGTGCGCGCCCGGGTATCTATTTATTTCTTTCTACGTATAGCGGGCCGTCATGGGGCGGCAAGCGGTTTCAAAACGCTATCTACACAGTCTATGGGTGCGCATGAACCATTGTGCATGCATGTGCATACTTCCGTCACCACGTTCCCCTATGCATGAATCAGACTAAAATTTGCAGTATGACAAATTTTCGTGATCGAGTCTAGTACCATGACTCAACGTGTGACACCCACTTGCAAGTGGACGCCTTCAAGGTGGCAAAAAACTGCCAGCGCAAGGCCCCACGATGTTGCTTGGAACCTCACTTTAGTGCCGTTGCCAATGTTGCTTGCAAATTCTGCTCCGGCACCTATTTAGTTGGCCCTTGCAAAACTGACTCTGCATCCAATCACTCTCGAAACGCGCGTAAGATTGCCAATACTAGTCACGCCTCACACAATGAGGCACGATCTTTTTAGTCAGTAGCTCACTTCTTAAGAGGTTCACATGCTAAGTGCTCTGAATTGCCTGCTCTTTGCTAATTGGTAGCCTCCCTCATTGCCTCTGCAGTTGCAAGAATATTCTTCCATGTACTACCAGACAAAGCTACGTGGTTTTCTAAGATTTCCAGAGGGAGCAACTAAAAAGTAAAGTTGGCAGCTCTCTATTTCCTCACTCGGATAGACAGAGTCTGACCTGGAACCAGGTTGCTTGACGCGAGGAAATTGTCCTTCTTGATGTCCTCCACAGCAACCTGCAGAATGATGGTAAAGGTCAATAAAGATAGTCATCTTCCCTCATGGCTTCTTTGCAATGATACTGCAGAGCTTCAACAACTTGCAAAGCAAGAAAGTCTAGCAGCTTCATATAGTTGACAAGGCCGCATAACTATGCTACTGATGATATTTATTTCCTTACCCCATACGCCCTGCTGAGCCCCCAGAGGGTGTCGCCTTGCCTGATGGTGTGCGTCTAAAAGCACAGAAAGGAGAATGCATAAGAAGTTGGGCGGGTACAATCTGGCCTTGGTGCCTTTGGCCTGTGAAAGCAAAGGGGCAATGAAATACCATCGAGAGCAAACAATCAATGCAGGCAGATTGTTCACAGACTTCAGTGAATTGCCAACCATACTTTTTTAATTTTGCGCAGTCTGACAATTGCATTACAACCGAGCTCTTGCTCAGCAGTGTGCAGGGAACTGTCCGATGATCATCTCAGAAATATCTGCTGGGACATAGATGCGCCAGTTTTTACCTTCAGAGTAGGAGTAGCACTCTTGACTTGATCCGCTGCCTCATGGGACTTCCTGCTGAAGAATCCACCGGTCTTCTTCGCAGCATTGTCAGCTGACTCCTTGACCTCATGCCCCACCTTCTTCAACTCGTGGGAGGCCTTGTCAGCATTGGCTGCGGCAAAAGGGAGAGCAGGTGAAATGTGCATAGACCCACATTTTTAGCTGTCGCTTTGTTTGCTCCCATTCGATTCATACACTGGATGAGCGAATGGCTTCTGTGCATTACGTGGCAACACTGTGGCCGCCCCCACATTGACCGAGTGATTGAGCAACGTCTTGGATTTGTAACAAAGTCGAAATATAGCCTAAACTAGTGCTACAGGAATGATATTCATTACTCCAGGGACTTTCAAGATGTAGAAGTTGCGACGTCGAGAGCGCTAGAAGTTGCAAACAGAACCCGGGGCAACCAATCAAGCCGGCGCACCTTTTGCATCTCTCTGCCCCTGCTTGGCGCCATCTTCCGCCCGGGAGCCAGCATGGTTCACCTTCTTCTCCACCCTGCCGAAGAAGCCTTTGGTCTTGTGTTCAGCCTCCGACGCCAGATCTGCTGCTTGTGACTTGCTGTCATCAATGTCGGGTGTGTCAATGACGACCTCATTGTTCACCTTCTTCTTGCGGCCTGGAATGGTAAAGGGAACGAAGAGCATCCAATCAGTTCAGCAAAATCAAACTTGGAAATTAGCACTTGCAATGCACTCGGAATGTAAGTGGAGCTCTTTGCCTGCATGCCTTGCGTGGAAGAGAATGTGGCACCAAGCGAATGCTGCACAAGTGGCAGCGAGCGCCACTCCCAGTAGGCTCTGTTGGTAAGATTCCTAACCTGCTTTCAAAAGCGTCAGGCCTATGCCTGCAGCAATGACGACGCCTGCAGCCTTTGCAATCATCTCATTGTTGTTTGCATCGGCCTTGGCCCCCTTCTTCTCCGCCGGTGACTGGCCTGCCGCAGCGCTCGCCATTGTTCCTTTAAAGACGACCTTGACGCTTAAACGTCAGGCAAAGACTGGTTTGTGCACTCAGAATGCGAGGCACGCTTCAGACGCTTCCCCCTTGCTCCCCGACTGATTTGAAATTGAACGAGGACTCAGCAGAGCTGAGCAGAGCTGCATTGCAGACTAGCACGATGTTCGCGCGCGCCGCGCATCAAACAATCTATCAATAACAGTTGGGGTGAGCGGGCGAGGTTAGGTTTAGGGCGACTTGGCTAACCTTCGGGACTTCAAAGGCTTCTTTCGACTAGGTTTTAAACCTAAATGCAAACCTGAAATACCGAACCCCCTCTTGGATAATGACACTGAAAAGAAACAGCGCGCGCGAGCTGAGAGCGCCGAGTCAAACAAAGCCTCAGAGTCATATGCAGACCGGCTGTGTGCAGAGGCAGCAGGTGCGAGGTTCTAGAATGTTGTTGGACAACTTTCATCAGGGCGCTTCGTTCTGAGCACACAATCGGCTCGCAATTGGAGCGCCATGGCGCCACCTCAAGCCCAAGTAGCTACGGCCGGAGGGGCAGGCCCTGCACAGCCGCAGCAGCAAGGCGGAGGGTGGTTGCAGAAGATCATGACGTACATCGTCATCTACTTTGTAGCACAACAATTCATGGCACCGAAGAAGTCCGCGGATCCTGCAAAGCTCACAAGCAACCTCTTCAGCAAGGGAGAGAAAGTGGTGCGCTCCTTACGTTTGCTGTTACCGGCATTGCTTGTCACTATCTTGTCATGCTGCATTTTTTCCAGATTTGTGATCAAAGTCAAGAGCTTCCTGTTAATTTGAATGTGATTGTGAAAGATCTTGTCAGCCTAGTGAAAGCTCTAGTTGTCCAAAATTTAAGGTAAATCGTTTCTCTGTCAAGATCTGCATCGATCACGTGAACTTTCCGACGTCGCTGTGATATTATGTCACGATTTGACTTTGTCCAGATTACCTCTCTCGAACTCCTATTGCTGCCACATGTTGGGCTCAATCATGGACAAGCGTGCAATTCCTAAGATTTGTCCCTCCTTTGAATCTGCAGGACTTCAGGTTGTATGCTTCTGAGAGCCAGTTCGTTTCTACTTACAACGATGCCGCAGTCTGATCAAGCTTTTTGTCTGCAGGACTTCTGGTTGTACGTTACTGAGAGCGAGTTCTTCAACAATTATAACGATGCCAGCAGTTTGATCTGGCATGAGAAAGACGTGCCATACAGCACGCAAGACACAGCCGCCAGCAGGCAACTGCACTGGACGTACCACCCCAGCGAGGCAAGCCACCAAATCTTTTACTCGTTCTCTATGAATTGCTGGCGGATCTGAGCACATCTCCTTCTGTGATGTGAACATGCACTTGAAGGCCTGGTGGAATCCAAAGTGCCTGCTTTTGGTTGCGCTCACAAGTGAGAGACTACTGGTGCGTGATGTGCTTTGTGTTGCTTCACTGGTGGCCTGTTCTGAGGCTACCCCTTTTGGGGCTCCAGTTGGTAAATGGGCTCTGAGCTTACGGAGTTTCTTTTGATTTTGAAACAAACTACTATCTTCGTGTAGGCTGTGATGAACAACGGCTCACTGTGGGGCCACGCATTCTTCGCTCGATCCGGCTACTCACCAAACCCTGAGGATGCGAGCTTTGAAAGAGGCTCAGCATTCAGCAAAACCTTCCGTAAGTGCATTCATGGAGGAGACTATTCTGAACAAGGTTGTATTCCTGCATCAATCAACAGACTTGACTTGAGGTGGTCAAAGCTGTCGGGTTGATGTTCGTGTTCGGATTCAATCATGCCCTTTTGATGTCGGTCCAGCAGTCCTTGTTTGGAGCTCTGATTTACATGCTTCAGACTTCCTGTACAGATTCATGAGCATTTTCTTCTCCTGTTCTATGGCTGCAATAGGAGTCTGCAGTGATTCTCAAAACACATCAGACTAGAGTTGTACGAACTACTTCGACTTGATGGAACTAGAAAAGGGTTTGGCTTGAGACAGACGTCGACAATCGCAGGGCTCAACAAGTACGGCATCAAGCCCAAGGTGGATCGCCGCGTGAACCTGCTCGGCAAGTCCATGAACAGCGACGCAGAGTTAGCGCAGCTGGACCGCGACGAGGCTGCTAAAGCGAAGCAGGAGGCAGCCTCAGCCGAGGTAACACCGGCGCAGGAGGAATCAGACGACGAGGCGGAAGAAGAGGACAGCGTGGTCTGGAACACTGGCTCGGAGGCGACGAAGAAGAAGGCAGAGGGGACGGCGGACGAGCCGGCGCGGCCGTGGGTGTCGTTCTGGCGGCCCAACGTGACAATTAACCTCGTGGAGGATCACAACGCGTGAGTGGCCTTGTGGAGACAAAAGCGCTTGTTTGCAGAATGTCGGAAAAGGTGTTCATGAGCTTCGAAGTGTATAAGGCCTGGCAGTGATTGGCCCCTTATATCTGGCAGGGGTCATTGCTCCCAGCCAAGCATGGCTCAGAAAAATCAAAGAATATTTGGAGTACCTACCTTTTAATAAGAGAGTTGCGAATTTTTGATGGGCTAGTGCCCCTGACCTGCCCCTAACCAAGCTTGCTTAAGAAGCACTTCCTCACAAATGCAGGTACCCTGAGGGCGGCGATCCCGCGCATCTTATGGGCCTTCTCGACTTCGAGAACGAGAGCGGCAACTCTCTCTCAGACCTTTCTGTTAGTGCTGACAAACAGACATGGTTAAGCCGTAATCCCGTTTTGTGCAGATACCCCAAGGGCGGCGTTCCCGCGCACCTGACAGGCCTCCTCGACTTCGAGCCCGAGAGCGGCAACTTCTTCCCGACCGTCTTCATCAACGACTTCTGGCTCCTCAAGGACTATCTGCAGCCCATCAACGATACGACGACCACTTTGGAGCTGGACTTGTTCCTGGCGCCGCTGAGCGCCTGGTGGTGGAATGTGTACGTCCAGATGGACCAGAGCTTCAAGATGCAGGCCAGCATGGGGAGCATGGGCGACGGGGAAGCCGACGAGATCAAGGTCAGCCGCACCTTTTTCATTACTGACATTCAGCGGTTGCCTGTCATTTGTTCTCTCGTCAGTCAGTACCACCAGTTGTCGCACCTGGCCGCCTGACCGATTGCTGGAAAAAACACGAGCTCTCCGTGGCCAGCAGGGGGGATCGGACGTGGCTAGCATCTGTGTCAAGTAAAACGGCCAAGCGATCAGATTTGTTGGCAAAGCTTCTGAAGGTTTGCTACCAGACAACACCTGCTATTTCGATTTGGCAGCAACGCCCAGTCCTCAGAAACCCAGCGAGGGTGCGGTGGAGGAATGCATGATTCGACTTCGAAGTTTCTAATCAGTGTACTCGCTTGTGCTGTGCAGAGAGTGTTCATCGAGGGCAACCCGTGGCTGCTGGGCCTGACCATGGTGGTCTCCATGTTCCACACCGTGTTCGACTTTCTCGCCTTCAAAAACGGTAAGCAGCAGCGCACAATCGCTTTTTGCAGGGTCTCTTGCCGTCCGTAAGGACAATTGCAGCGGATAAACTCCCGTTGCTGTGGGACTAAGCGCGATGTACTAACGCCCCCCAAGCGACGTAAACGGTGGATTTGACCAGCGTGATCAAGTTGACCCGCAACAAGTTTGTCGTCTGAACTATTTCGCCTTGAAGATTGGTGAGCAGCAGATGCGGTGCACCTCGCTACCATACCATACGCCAAATGCGGGGCACCTCGCCACTGTACCATATGCCCAGCGCGACGCGTTTGAAGGGGTTGCCCTGCCTTGGTGTTCCATATCATCATGCTCGATATTGCCATTACCTCGAAGATTTTGCATCCTCTTCCACGACGGTCTGCTTGTTGGCGGAAGTATGCGTGTGTGGTGAGACTCTTCTTGAGTCGAACTAAGCAGCCAATTTGAGGGGTGAAAGGTTATCCAATCCGGGCACGGAAGGCCCGCTCGGTAGCTCGTACCGAGTTCAGCTCGCACGAGCTCTTCTGAAACGGGTGGTCCACTGTTTTCTGGTTACAAAAAACTGGCCCCTTTACGAATCCTCGTCAACCACCACCTTTCCCGCAAAAGCAAAGCATCGAACTGCTCACAAACTCCTTACCACCACAGAAACGCGCTCTGCGCCCCCTGAGGGACACTTTTTGACCCCACACCCGGCTGCCTTGTTTCCGCAGGTATCCACTTTTGACGCAACAACAAGTCGATGATGGGCATTTCGGCCATCAAAACTGAGCTGTATGCGCCCCCCAGTGACCCGTTCCTGACCATATACCCGGCTGCCTTGTTTCCGCAGATATCCAGTTTTGGCGCAACAACAAGTCGATGATGGGCCTGTCGGCGCGCACGGTGATCATCTCCTTCGTGTCCCAAGTGATCGTGCTGATGTACCTGCTGGACAACGAGACGAGCTGGATGATCATCATCAGCGCCGCCGTCGGCTGTGTCATCGAGTTCTGGAAGATCGGCAAGGCCATGGACATCTCGGTGAGTTTGTGACAGGTTTACCGAGATACTCAGAAAGTCACCGAGACACTGACGAACATTGTGAATGAGTTTAGTTAGTATTCCGGATACTTTTGAAACCGCTCTGTGGTACACAGTTGCTTGTTCGGGGGATCGGCAAGGCCATGGACATCTCGGTGAGTCACTTCCCCAATGCGAGAACCCTGTAAACTACTCTGATTTTTTTGGGGTGATTTCGAAGCTGAGTGTCTTCAGTAGGCGCAGGGGACGACTTGGGTGAGCTCGGTGAATGCGGAGCAGGTCAGAAGCAAACATTTGCTGTTAGGTGGACCACAGGATCACTCTGGGATGGGACGGTCAAATCTCGGCACTGCCGTTCAAGGTTTTGATATCATTCCACGAATGCTCCAGATGTCTTGTTTGTGGTGGCTTTGTTGCGGGTTGTTGGAAGACCAAGGTATCAGGACCAGTCTTGCCAAAATCTTCAGATCCCAGGACGCACCCTGCAATTCGGAAAGCTGGGCTGTGATTCGACGGTAGCACTTTAATTTGTGCAAAACTCTGCAAGCCGCCTGCCATTACCCACGCCGCGCTCGGCGGTGCACATCGGTTGGTGGCGCTCTCTTCCGATCCTTGTGTTCAAGGATAAGAAGTCGAACGGGCAAAACAAAATCAATCAGCAGGGCGAGCTGCTTAGGGGCGGATCCTAGACCCCTCAAGTAGCCACGTACATGATTTTCATTCCCCGTTCGGCGGTGCAGGTCGGTCGGTGGGGCTCCTTCCCGATCCTGGTGTTCAAGGACAAGCCGGTCATACGAGCACAACAAAACCGAACAAAACAACGAGCCGGGTAAATCTCGCGTTCAGAATCTCCATTCAGCTGTGCTGAGAAGCAAGCATACTCATTCCCGCTGTGCAGGTCGGTCGGTGGGGCTCGTTCCCGATCCTGGTGTTTAAGGACAAGCAGTCGTACGAGGGGAATAAGACCAAAGAATACGACGAGCAGGCGACGCGCTACCTGTCGTACTCGCTCTTCCCGCTCGTGGGCGGCTACGCCGTCTGGTCGCTCTTCTACCAGACGCACAAGAGCTGGTACTCCTGGGTCGTCACCTCGCTCACGGGCTGCGTCTACACCTTTGGTGAGTTTTGTGCGCGTGTGAAGTCCGGTTGAAAGTTAAACACATGTCGCGCTTGCGGCTGACAGATTATTTATGAATTGTCCAGACTTGCATGGGTCGTCACTGGTTGCGTCTGCACCTTTGGTAAAGAACCAATGACTCACTATGGCTTGCATGTTGCCGGAAGCTCATATGTGTCGCTGCTTGCGGTTGATACAAACGTTCATTGACAGTTGAAAGGGGGCGGGGTTACTGGTCAAAGCCCCGCGTTGGGGCGACAAGACCGTGTGACCTTTTGAGTTTGTTCTTCTGTTCTGGATACTTGACTAGTTTATCTGCCAGGATATCAGGGACACGGAGCTATTCACACAGGCTCGCGCCAGAAAGACGGATGAGCGTCGGTTTGGAAAGCTTTTACAGAGCATGCTGGCCTGCCCTGGTCACCGTACTATTCCGTTCTCTCAGATCTGGCCTTACACTTTTTAGCATGTGGGAACCATGCCGGGGCTAGATGGCGCCTACTTTTCCTCACGCAAAGAGAAGGTATGACGGATTTGCCCTACTGTGCGTGCAGGTTTCATCATGATGACCCCGCAGCTGTTCATCAACTACAAGCTCAAGTCGGTGGCGCACCTGCCGTGGCGGCAAATGACGTACAAGTTCCTGAACACCATCATTGACGACCTCTTTGCCTTTGTCATCAAGATGCCGCTCCTGCACCGCCTGAGCGTCTTCCGTGACGGTCAGTCCCTCAACTTTCAGGTTATCTTGAAACCCTTGAAGGCAACCCATACGTTCTTTCTATCGAAGGTATTGCGTTTGGCAACCTGGGCTCGAATCCGCTTTGAATTTGAATCTTGTCAAACTTGCATTGATGCGTTGCTAATTGGCGCTGCGACTTCTGATTGTCCCACGAGCCCGAGAGTGTGCACTACGCCTGCTTCATAAACTTGGGGCCCGCTACGCGTTGGATCTTGGAACACAAGTCCGGGAAATTCTGAATACATATATATGCAAGAGGATCAGCAATTCAAAGGGCTCGGAATCTAGGCTTCCTTATTCTAGAATCTGAGTTCGGTAGTCTCCGACTTACCGTCTTCTCATTTCGAGGCCGACGTGCGCTTCTGTTTGTGAGAGCACGCAGAGTTAGTCTCTTCTGGTGGGGCTATTAGTATGCTACGATTTGAAAGGTCATTGCCGGTGCTTCTGCAAGCACCATCCGTGTCACCATGCTTCTCTCAATGACGTTCGTGGCTTGTGCTTTTGCAGACCTGGTGTTCCTGATCTTCCTCTACCAGCTGTACATTTACCCAGTGGACAAGAAGCGGGTCAACGAGTTCGGGTTCGGGGGGGAAGAAGCGCTAGGCCAGCCTCCAGCCGAACTCGTTGGAGCACCTGTTACGCCGGCACTGCCGGAAGGCGAAGTTGTAGTAGCAAAGGATTCCAACGTCGAGGCGACAAGTGTAACAAGGACAGCCGCAGGCAAGGTGGCCGAGGCAAAAGAGGAAGTGCCTCTAGTGGCGTCCAGCAAAGGGAATAAGAAAACGAAATAAGTTCAACTTGCCCTTTTTAGTTGGTGTCTTGATATCGTTGGGTCTGTTTAGGTATGTACAAAGGCTGCACATTCAAGTTTGTCGCTTTGAAAGTATGTATTGGAGGTGCCTTTCGATTGTGGATTTAAACATGGAACCACCTCTGGTGCGGACAACACTGCATACGGTGTGATACGCGCGAGTCCGATCACTGTAAAATGTAGGTACGTCAATCATGCAACCGTTTGCCAGCACGTGCCAGTCTGCAGGCGCGCACGGCCGGACCACTGCATAACCCGTCACTCATGGGGCTGGCTAAACCGACGGCCGCTCATAGTGTACCAGCTCGGGAGTCATGTACAAAGGACTCCGTCTGGTGTGACGAATGAAATTATACATCACGATTCAATTATATTCTGGTATATACATGTATGCACGGATCTTAAAGCTCGTGCGAGATCCAGTGGCGCATATATGCAAGGCAGCACGCGAGCGAATGAAATAAGGTGGCCGGAAGCAGGCAGCCTTTTCATGCGCGTGGCGAAATATATGTGCAGTCAAAGTTGCGCATGCACATGTACTTCAACAAGACATGCGCAACTTAATATACTCCGAGGCGATGATTGCCTATTCGGACGACCAGATATCCAGCAAGGCCACGTAACTAAAACATCTACTAAGCCGGTCGACCTTGTGCCAGCGGGGAATCTCGTCCCATAGGTGAACGAGTTCGTGATCTTGGTGCGTCGATCAGACTCAAAGTTCTCTTGAGGTTCTTACCATCCCCGGCCGCGGCGGTAGATGGATCCCATTACAAGTCCAGTTCTCACGGCAAACGCAATTCTAGAGTTCTAAAGAATGTCACCATAGATGCTCCTTCTAGGGCTTGATACGCTCATCTTGCAAGCTTGTGCATTGGCTGGTCCGCTAGGAGCTGTATTGGCAGGCCTAATCCGGTCGGTACCAGCTGGGCTGATCTCTTTTAAACGCAGATTATTGTACGATGTCGAAACTCGTGAAGAACGGATTTTCTCCAGTCAGCCAGGTTCGCTAATACCAAAGTGTTTTTGCAGCTCGTCGTTGAAGCGCTCCTGGCTGTCTATCAACTCTTCCTGCATGCAACACAAGTCGATGCATTGTGAACCCTCCTTTTATGAAAGCAAAGCACAAAATGAAGGGCTATGAGTCGGCTGTCTGTCCGCATCCCAACAGTTCTTTATGAAATTGGCACCTTCCTGGCTTTAAACAGCCCATCTTGGTATGATGTCCAGATTATCCACGGCAATATAATACTAATGTTGACCCAATATCTAGATTCGTCTCCTACGACAAACTCTAACCAAGGACCTTGTGCTTAGGGCCTGCGGATGTTGCTCTGAAACATATTCAGACAAAGGAATATTATTGCTTGCGCGTACTCACGAAGCAAAGCTGCTACGATATACTCCAACCTGGAATCTTGCAAACAGCTCATCCCTACGGAAAGCAATTTGCAAATGCTGGATAGTTGCACGGTTCGAGCCCCCTTCGAAGCACTGGACGACCTTCACCGCCCAATCCTTTGGCCTTGCAGAGCCCACAGGGGCTCTCAATGTTACTTGTCTTTAGCGCCCAGAAGCTCAGGCGATACACAATTTCACCGTGCCTTCGTCCGTCTATGCGATATGATGTATCACTTCCTGTCACTGCGCATTCCTCTACGTTGTACGAAAACCCTTGCAAACCGAACCCAGACCCCAGAATCACAGGCGATCTGACGCTCACCATGCAATTCGTCCGTGTCTGCGGTATCTACAACCAGTTTGCCGTCTTCGTGCGTTGTTCTTGATAAGGGAATGCTTTCACAAGAACGAAAGATCAAGGGGATAGAAAGCTCACCGTGCGTTCGTCCGTGTCTGCGGTATATACAATGAGTTTGCTGTCGGTCAGTGTAATCGTGCCACCCCCCTCCTCGGGCCCCCGTAACCGCGACACGAGAAGGCCCTTGCGGAAGAAGGACTCAGGGCTACTCTGGTGGAACGTGCACATCTGGACAAGGAAGAAACGTTCCGTTCAATCTCTCGATCGGAACGGCGGAACTCATCGTGCCACGATGAGGCCCTCCGAAAAGAAGGACTTGGGGCTACTCTGGTGGAAAATGCACATGTGGCAATAAAGAAACGTTCCATTCAATTTCTCGACCGGAACGGCGGAAGTGCTCGCAACATCATGCGGCCCCTTCCGGCAGAAGGACTCAGAGCTAGTCTGAGGGGCGTGCACATCTGGCAAGGGACCAAAGCACTGCGATCGACGTCATAACCGAAACGGCGGAGGTAGAATTGCAGTGCGGAGCTCGACAACGCCCTTCCGTGCAAATTTGACGAGAAGTAAGAGCACTTCGTTCGATCTCTCGAACGCAACGGAATGGGTTGCTCAGTGTGAGGTTCGACAACGTCCTCTATTCGCGTCGTGTAGCTCTCTGTATTCTCCTCCTTCTGTTCCGTCTTGCTCGTGGTTCCGAACGGCGACCAATTGGCAGATTCTGGAGAAAGCGTAATCCCGTGAAAGCGGATTTGCGGACAGCTTCTTTCTCTGAAGCTCCCAAATCAGTACGTGGCTACTTGGATTTTTGACGCAAACAAAACGGTACGTTCAAAGAACGAAGACGCGTCCTCAATCTGCAATAACCCTTTTGTCAGCCAAACGAAGATTGAAGCCAGTATTTTGATGGCCCTAAAAAGGAGATACCTCCGTCTTCTTTTTTGACGAATCACTGGCTAAAAAGCAGCTACCTTCCAGAAACGCCCCAAAAGGCAAGAAAGGCGCCCTGCCATTCACAGAGCATAAACCGTCCCGAAAAAGGAGACTATCAGCTTGCGGAGAAACCAGTCCAAGAAACCTCAGACACACAAAGCAAACGACGACGAAACCAAAGATGCCCCCACCTGACGAAAGTCCTCCGGTCGCTTCCGCTGTATGCAGAATTGGATACGAAGACCTTGCACAGCACTAGCTGTCCAGAGAAAGAAAGGAGTATGCTGGGAAATACTCAGTCCCAAAACTACATAAGCAAAAGAAAGAAACAAAGAACCGGCAGGCCCCCACCTGGCGGAATTCTTCCAGCTGCTTCGGCCGTATGCACAACCGGTGCCTAGGCTCCGGCACAGCACCATTTGTCCAAAGAAAGGACGGGCTGGAAAGTTCATCAGTCCCAAGAGTGATAAATATGTTCGCAAACAACGGAAGAAAGGAGCCGAACATGCCCCACCTGGCGAAAGTCCTCCAGCTGCTTCGGCCGTATGCAGAACCGGTGCCTCGGTTGCCACTCCCCGGGCGCCTGGACGCTGCTCCCAGGGGGGGGCATCCACTGCCAGTACACGTACACCCCCGAACCGCGCAGCAAAATGTCCGGCAGCACGCGGTGCCGGCCCGTTACTTGGACCTGCGGGGGTGGACGTAGCATGACGTCAGCGTTTTGGAGATATGTTGAATCGGCAAGACGTCAGCGGCCCTCGGAGGATTGACAGTAGGGTCGATTGACAAAAGGCGGCTTCTAAAGAAGCACCAGCAACATGTTGATGTTTCTAGACGGGAAAGGCGGTAATCTGACAATCAACATCCGGACTGAACTGGTCTATGAAAAGCCTTAGAAGGTTGAAAGCAGTTGTGGACGTTTGATGGGCAAGTTGTGGACGGACGCAATCTTCAAAGTAGCATAGAAGAAGAAGAGAAGGGGGGGATATTGGAAAAGATATGAACCTTACCTGTTCGTCCCGAGTGTCGAAGTCGAGGAGGTCGGGGTAGCTACTGCCAAAGCCGACGTCCGCAAGCCACCGTTTCTTCCCAATGTGGACCATCAAGACGAGCTGCAAGCAACACATGTTGATAAGTTAGTGGTTCAGAGTCGCCGCAAGACGTGCTCTGGGGCCGGTAGTCCACGACGTAAACGTTGAGTGCTGCGTTTGAGTTCTCAAACAGAGGCCGGAGAAATCTGAAAACGTTCATAACTGATATTTCGCGGCTGTCTCAGTTGATGCGGTGTGCACTCAGCCTGAGTGAGCACAAAGAATCTCAATTTTCAAACATATGGGACTCAGGAGACCAGAACGGAGGGCAACCGAAGCTTCATAACGGAACAAAGGAAGAGAACTTTCGTCTTTCGTACGACGAGTCCACCAGTTTCTGCAAACACTCTTCTATGGCTTTGGTTTCCTTAGGATACTCAAGAAGAACTAGGACGTGCCACCTGTAAGACCGGACAGTCATAGACTCGCTTTCAAGTGCCCTGAAAGTCTTCCGACTCTATATCTTTTCCCTCTTAGATTTCACAAGCAAGAATAAATTTGCCACACCAACGCTTTGCAGATTGCAGAGTAGGCAGATGTCCAGCTTTATGGTCGTGTCCGAAAGGAGGCAGTCTCGAACCCAACCAGGACCCATCCAAACCCGAACTCAAACCGGAACCAAGGACCCCATACAAACCCAAATCCGAACCCAAACCCAAATCTAGACCAAGTTTCTTACATGGTCATATTCGGGGCCGAAGCGGCCCCCCTGCGCTCCCTGCTGGAAAACGCTGGCCGACATGAGGGAGACCTGGTAGCCCAGTTGTCGCAACAGCCAGGCAAAGCAGCCGTTGTTCTGCAACACAGGAGCAGCGATTGGTTACGGAGTTGATCAGTCTGCGACTTCTTCGAAACAGATTGTCCGTATTTTAGAATGTCTCGCTTAGACAAAGCAGTGGTTGTCATTTTCACATACATGATATCCTCAAACTTCTTCCGCCTACACATATGTTTGTCCTAGAGCTCTTTACCATGCAGTGCAGCCATCCTTCATAGGAAAACCAACAACCAACCAATTGGCAAGAATTACGTCCCTTGTAATCCCCTCCGAGCTCACTATCCCACGTCTCTCCTATGAGAAGAGCAGTGGATGGCGCAGCAGATTATAAGTCTGCACCCTCTTGGGTGCCCCCATATGTGATTCAGCAGGCATGCCACTGGTCACTTTTCTGAGAGGAGGGAAGTCCAATGAACCTGCCTAACATGGCTCGACTCTCTGGCCCTGACCCCAACAAACCAAGCTTCGCAGAAGTCGTATGTTTCTCCATCTTCTTTTCCTACTTGTCTAGTCAATTCTGGATAAGAACACGTAGACAAGTCTTACCTCATAGCAAAACCCGCCCCTCCTCCGCCTCACTATCTTGTCGTACAGCTTATCGTAGTCTAGCTGGATTGTCTCCCCGTTGTGAACACTGCACGCAAGTCAATTCATCTTTTAGTGACCGTCCACTCAACCAGACCCAAACTGCAGACCTTGGCCGATTGAAGTCAAGACTTGAAAAGTTCTCTCCCTCCAGCACCTTTCCTGCATCTGTCAGAGCTCAAATTGGGCCAGTCCAAAAGCGTACGGAGCGCTTATAGATAGATCATTCAACAAAGATCAGGTGTGAAAAATCAGAAAAATCATGCAAATTGCAACATTTCAATACAGGACTTCTTCAAGGTTGACTTAAGCAGGCACAGCCGAGTTCAGCATAGCCTTCATGGAAGATGGGGCCACCTGCGGTCATTTTCAGTGGATTGATTTTACCAAATGCCATGTCGCGCTTGCAACGCTCCTTGCCAATCATGTATCCAAGTATAGCCGCCTACTCCTGTCTTGAAAAGTTCTTTGTATCGGCCACAGTCACCCTACAATGCATCCGTGAAGTGCGAGCACAAACAGCAGGGTAACAACATTCGGCCGCTGTGATTATGCTGCAATTACCAGTCACTTACCTCAGGTTCTCAAAAGGTACCGCCAGAAGGTGAGCCCAATGCAGGCTCCGCAAAGCCTCCAGCGCTTCTCCTTCCTCTCCTTCCACCATATAAGGTGGCGGTCCCTGATAAGCTATCCGCTCCAGGTATGCTTCGACTTTGACATTATCCACGTTTTCTTTACCCTCTGTGGGAGCAACGGAAGCCACTGATGCCGGACGTCTTGTGCTCTTGTGAACGGATAGCTTATGCAGTCCAGATTGAAAAGCTGGTGTCAAGCTTGCAACTTGGCATGTGGTCTTCCTGCTTTGACAGTCTCCAGAAACTGAGGGGGAAAGTTGACACCATGCGCACACGGCAAAGGGGCGCCGGAGGAACCTTTTACCACCTCTCCGGCTTTCATTCGGGATTGCTGGACTTGAGTTGGGCAAGAGCGGCTCAGTCTTCTTTGCAAAAATCCTTTCCAAGCAGAGGCCTGCACCGATTGGCCGGTTGGAAACAACCGTACATCTAGTGCTCATCTTTGGAAATTGTCTAAGCTGTGAACCACATCTCTCCTGTTCAGCAATCCAGTGAAAGAGAAAGCCTAGGTCAAGTACAGATAGGCCCCTCCTTGTTCAGCATACAGTACTGGCTAGTAGCTACAGCACACTGGATGTATTGACAATTCTCTCATCGTCTGCACCTGGGTAAAAACAGCTCAGAAGACAGGAGGGTAATACGACCTAATTTGCAGGATCTCCAGAGCCTGGGTAGAAGCTTTGTCCAAGATTTGCTTCACAGTTCTGAAAACTTTATCTTCATTCTGAAAGCTGGCTTGCACAACGCTTGGCAGTGCACCACCCACAGCCACAGGACTGAGAATGCAAGGTCTAGAGCAGTACTATAGGACAGGTTGTAGCGCCCTGCATGAGTTGCTTTGCGCGCTTTCCCCTTTCCCCTTGCCCACTGTCAAAAGTTCTGAGCTCATTTTAATCTTTTCAGGAATTTTTGGACATATTGTCATCAGAACATGTAGCTTACTTCTGTGACTGTGACAGAATATGCGTTGTAAAAGCTCGACAAACAAATCAGCAGATAAGAAACATATCAGGGCTGGCCTGCGCATACATGTATTATGAGCCGTGTTCTAAATGAGAGTTGCAACTTTAGAATTCTAGGCCGGTGATTAAAATTAATGATATACTTTAAATACCTGAAGATGATCACGGAATTTTCACCAAATTGTCCTCTCCAATGTGGCAAGTTTTGCAACTTCAAGCGCCTTGAGCCTTGAGGCTTGATCAGCTGTTGAACTTGAGAGAGGCGCGCTGCACCCAACGAAGCAAGCGCAAGTAGAGGAGGTTCAAAAGGCGCCACCTATATTGAGAGAAGGGTTCGAGACGAGAAGATACAGTTTCTGGGTACTAGCAGTGGGCAAACCAACGTAGTCTTCCCCCGCAGTCTGGTCCGACTCCCTTAGTAGCTCGCCCATGCAGATAGATCCTGTGTCCGGTTGATGCGCCTGTCCTAATCTCTCAAGGGATCTGGGCCCACCGGTGGCTAGAGCGTAAAGCGAAACTAACTGCACAGAACTTTCTTTAGTTTCACCGGTGCATAGGTGCATGGGTGGCATCTTCTGCAATTCGAAAGTAGTGGTGTGATCTTGGCAAGTGGCAGTGCTGCAAGCTGAAGCGACTCCCCACATCAAGGTGGAGAAGATTCAAGACTCTGCATTGGGAAAAGTATAGCCGTCACTGCAATGGTCTCAGTACTGCTGCAGGTCAGCATGGTCTGATCATCATACCTTTTATTTGTGTTCCGACCTACTTCTCAGGAATATTCAGCAACTTGCTGATTGCTGATGGGCGTCGAAAACACTACCCTTTGCATCGACTTTATTCACCGTGTCACAAACACTACACTACAAATGCGTCTTGCTTGATGGCTTCTGGTTTTGTGGAGGCTCCAGAAATGCTTCCAGCCGTGGGGACAGGTACCTAGAAACCACTAAAGAACAGAATGAGCTACTACCTAAGTGGCTTTCATTAGAGCTTCTGAACAAGAAAAGCTCTTTTGAACCTGCGATGCAGACTTGGAGAATCACACAAGGGGATCTTGTTCTGAAGCATGCCTGCAACAGATTAGCCGCACATCTGATTTCGGCAGAAAACCAATCTTCATCGTCAGATTCTTGCCACTATCGGACATGTGACCACGCTCCAGCTTGCTTCTGCCTAACAACAGGTCTCTTTTCCGAAATTTCCCCACTTCAGCACCAGTCTTCTGGGATTTCTGACGCACTTTGCTGACTCACAGGAGCGGACGGCGGGCTTTCTTGTCGGTCTGGTGACAGGGGCAGCAGCGTACGTCCACATGCATCGGGAGCTGTGGCGGCGGACAGCGGAAACAGCGGAGACGCTCTCACACCACAGCTTGCCCCCGCCTCCCCCACCTCAGGTTAGTATTTGGGGAACGCCTGTTTCAAGAGGTTGAGGTCTGATTTGTAAAGGTTTCTTTTAAAGACGGTGGATTCCTTCATTTTATGGACCCAAATCTAGCCTAATCTGTGTGGTTAAAGTCTTTGCGGCAACGAGCCTACCTGTCAAATCACCTTAATGCATGTTGGTACCCTGACTTTGACTGGCTACCTGAAGCTTCGGCCCTTTCGTGTTGTCACCATACGAAATGAATTGACATTCAAGTTGAGGCGGTTCACAGTCGAGCCAGGTGATCGAATGTGGCAAGTCAAAGTCCATGCAACTGTATGGCACGCTCTGATCCGTTCTTGCTCCTGACGGTACCCAGTCTTAGAGGCTTACGCACTTTCATCGAGCTCAATCGGTATGAACTTCTCTTGGTTTTGGGTGATCGATACAATGATAGATTTTCTGCATGCGATGACAGGAACACGAACCTTTATTCGGGAGAGAACGGCAGGTGCGTCTGGCCCAAACATGGAACGCGGGCATCGAGAATACTCTTGGGGCTGCGGCACGGTACCTGAGCGAACGGGGCTTATGACACCCGCTTTTGAGGGTGGCGACTCTCGAAATCTGACATAACCGTCCCCTTTCTTTGACATGATTGCCCCCTTTCCGAAATGGCTGTTGAGGGTTGAAACTTTGTTTGCTCTGTCCGGCTCAACTCGATTGCAAGTGTTGCAGATTCGATGTGACTTGGAGTCATAAGCAGCTGGACTATGCATTTCCTATTGGCAAAAGCTTGTACGATCCGCTAGGTGGAATTCTGCCCTACGACATGTGATGTCGTTCCGTCTCAGTCATGTCATTGGAGCATCGCTGCGCTACGGGTAAAGCCGAGGCTGACCAATCAATCAACATGCTTCAATGCTGTAGGTGTTCTCTGAACAAGTCCAATCTAGAATGGTAAGCGTGTGGGCCTGAATAGATTACTGGCTGCACCGTACATCGTTCGGAATTCAGTTTCTAAAGATGTATCTAGGTACTAAGTATGATGCTAGTCGCTGCAAGCAGATGTTAGCTCATGGGATTGGGCGGGCGGTGGGAGATTCACACTTTGACGTTCGCCAAGATAGACGAAGGCTATATTTTCATTCGCACTCCGATCATACAGGTGCTGGCGCGGCCTGCACCGTAGAAATTCGCAAGCTTGCATGGGCACCATCATATATGTGCACTTCAACTCATCATTATGTTATTGACGGATTGTTTCATGGATACTTCATCATTGCGCCGGCGAGCTTCCAATTGCATGCATGCCATGCATAATGCACGGCGGCAACATTACGCATATGTCCGGCCAACTATGTAGGCCACAGTAATACTGCCTATATATATTTTGGTTAGCCCAATTCTCGGGTATGGAGCGGAGGTCTGGGGCCCCGGCTACTGTCCGGAGTGGGGTTGGAACGGCGATGGGGACGGTCCTGAGAAGGTGCATCGCGCGTTTTTAAGGGATTTGTTGAAAGTCCGGAAATCGTCGCTGTCCAAGGCCGTCTTGGGAGAATTCGGTCGGTTCCCCTTGGTGATCAGACGTTGGGCGCAGGTCTTCAAGTTTGTCAGCCGGACGGCAAGTCTTGCAGAAAATCGGTTGGCCCGCTTGGCATTCGAGGAGTCGAAGGAGATGTGGGCAGCAAACGAAGGCGGGTGGTATATGCGAGGATTGTAGGAAAGGCTTGTGAACTCGTTTCAGCAGATAAGAGTATAGGTGTTCTAAACCTGGCGGCTTCAAGAGAGGTCTGAGATGGCATATATGCAAGATCTAAGAGAGGGGTACGGCAGAAAGTTTTGCACGTACTTTGAGGATGTCAAGGAAGGCTACTCCTTTGAGTCTTTCATAGATGAAATAGGCGTCTCCAAGTACTTCGACACTCTAGCCAAATTCGGAGTCGGAGCCCACAAGCTAGCTATCGAAACAGGGAGTTGGCAAGGGATCGCTCGCGAGGAGAGACTCTGCAAGGTGTGCACGTTGGAAGCAGTAGAGTCGGAAAGGCATTTTGTCTATGATTGTCCGGCCTATAGCGACATTCGAAAAGTCTTTCACATTCTATTTGCGAACAGGGAGAATAGAAATTTGAAAGCTTTCCTTAATTTGCAGGACAAGTATGCGGTAGGTAAATTTCTGCATACTTCTTTAGAGAGGCGAGCTAGCATAATAGGACAATCGTCGACTTAGCCAATCATGGCTCCGAAACGGCGTTAATCAAACAATTACACTTATATAAGAAAAAACAGTACGCACATGTGCATGATTCCTGGATTTGCATGCATGCCAAGTTCTCAATCGAAGTCGGCCCCGACGCATCGGACCAGGTGAGCGTATGTTTATCGGCCTTGTTGACGTGGGGCGGGCCGGAAAATCGGCTAAGACAGCATTTGAATGAGCAGCTGGAGTATAGCCTACCGGGCTCAGTGTCAATCGACCCTGCTCAATTTGGCGCTATACTTGAACGCGATTAACTCTCCGTTGAATCGCAATGGCAGATACAATTTGGAGTCAAATCTAAATATCATCAGCTTTTGGGTGTATGAATGTTGTCAATGATCTGGGTTGCAGCCGACGATTTATGCAGTATATACGTCAGAATGCATGAAAGAAGAAGAGAGCGCTGATCCAAGTACAGAAAACATTAGCAGGATGCCGAGCGAGACAAAGGGTTGAAAAGCTTCCCACGTGCATGCATTTCTTGGACGACGGGCCCCCGACCGGCCGGCCGGGCCAGCTGCACGTTTCTACAACTTCTTCACGGGGAACTTAACTGTTTCTATGGTATTTCCGTGACTGTCCTCTTCATGTTTCACTGCGCAACTAGGAAGAACCGTTTGTAAACTATAAGCACTTCTTTCGGCATGATCTCTAAGCTGACACTGCACTTGTGCCGCATGTATTGTTGTAAGAAGCAGATAGATTCATGTGACTACACAACGACTATTTTCCAAGTGTCTCTTGCGTGCTCAGGCCCTAGCGCCGTTTCAGCCTCTCAGCCATGTACGATCCAGACGTGATTCTGTTGCAGATGTGCCCTCTATTTATATTGCTAAAAAAACGCGCGCTCGCAGCAATCATCCCTGCTTAAGACGTCGATTACAGGCTTTGCGATCCAATGGCTGCAAACAAGTCCGATAGTCACTTTGATGTCTCCCCTTCTCCCCGCAAGACTTCCGGCAATCCGATTCTACGCCACTACCTTTTCCGTTGTGACGACAGCTTCATGAGTCGCTCCAGTTTCCGTTCAGGTGGAAGTTTCTCTCTGGCCGCAGATTGTCCATCGTCGCCGGCTGCTCCTGCGGTGCCTCGCGCCGTTTCCGCGCCATCCGCAGCCGGATCGACGGAACTCGCGCAGCGACCTCCCGCCAGATGAGGCTCTGGGCGCTCACCCGCCGCGACCACGGTTCCGAGTACTCAAAGTAGTCACGCACCTGTCACAAAGCCAGTAAAAGAAAGAGATTATGGATATCAAGCGAATACAAGCAGTGGGCCTTTCCATCTTGGAACAGGACTAATTGGGAAACGTTTGGAATCGGCTCGAAGGTGGTCGAAGCGATTGGGAGCAGCGAGGTTTTGTTCAGAAGCATGATGTTTAGTACGTAGGACCATCTAAAAAGCGTTTCGAAGGAGAGTCTGTTGCCGCCGACCCAAAGTGATCCGCGCGAGCATTCAGGCCAGTCCGGGACGTGGTCCGCGCAGCTGACAACATTCAGAAGCATTTCTCGGAAATACATAACGTGAAAGTGAGCGCTTTATAAACAAGTTTTTCTGGCGCTCCAAATGAATTTTCTGAGCAAAACACGCATAAGCTTTGCGCTTGCAGGAGAACGCCTTTTGGGGCGTGCGAGACGGATCCTCCAAGGTTGTAAGAAGAGGACGATGCGAGATATCGTAACTCGACCGACGACATTTTGGGCGAATTTGGGAACGACACCTTAGAAGCAAACCCCAGCATCCGCGCTTATTCATTGTCTGCAAACCTCTGATGCGCGCACAAAGGACGAATCAAGCGGTCGACTACGCGGTCGGAATCCCTCTCCACCGCGGTCACGCAAACGGAGATTGCGAGGCTGGACCGGGCAGAATGGAGTTTGAGCGCGCGCATCGGTGGGAAGATCTTCGATTTGAGGGCTCCATATTGTGAGAATCCTACCTCGAGGAGCTTTTGCCTCATTCGGAGGACGGTTTCGTCCGATATCGTCCGGAGGCGCTGCAGGAGGACGCCCGGTTGAACTGCGTCTCGCTCCTTGACGAACACGCTGAACTCGCTGCACGTGCGTCATCAAAGCCGATGACTAGTCGGTGACGTCATGCAACAAGCAGTTCAGGACAGCGCGTCGTCCTGATTCGCATGAATCATGTAGCACGTCATGAGCTCGTTGAAGCGGGGGCGATGCGGCGCTGATTGCTCAGAACTTCAACACGAATCTGGCAAGGCCAATAACCAAACATACTGGAGGTCCGCTCGGGCCAAATGCTGACTATATCCTTCAGACTGAAACTGGACTACGCGCCATGCAGAAAGTCAAGGATGTCGGAGGTAGGGAAGGGGGCTGGAAGAGGATTTGGGAAGAGCGAGATCAAGTGGAGAGGAAGGAAGCGCCACCTGTAGTCCAGCTGGTCCTCAAACGGGAGCTCTAGGTCGTCCGAGACGACTACCGGTATGCACAGGTTCACGATCGCGTCGAAGATGCGCGACGAGGAGGGGGTGTCGCCCGCCGGGTGCTGAAACGGGGGAGCAAACAGGCCTTTGTTTCGAGAATGCAAAATCCGGAGACTGGTAGCTGCCCGGTTCTTGTGACCCATGACCAGCTGAAAGTAAGTCTTTTGGGGTTTGCCGCCGGATTAGTCCAACGTCTGTGAGATGCGGCGTCTTAAACGCTGCAGAGCGGCCGCAGCTGTGCCTTCCCTTCAGCAAGGACGTTACTATCCGAAGCGGTTGCGACCGAGATCGTCCGCAACCAACGCGTCCGGGACTGAAGCGTCCGCATTTACTACGCCGCATATGGTACGCGTTGAGCCATCCCTTCCCAAAGCGTCCGAGCTAAAAGGAGAAGACGACGAGATATTCCCTGAAAGTCCCTAAACATTTCCATTGTTAAGCAGTCTGTAACATCCGCGTCCGAAGCGTCCGGACCCTCACCAGGCAGAAGCGCGAGCGGCGCATCTCGTCTGCGGTCCTGCTGAGGAGGTCTGACGTCACCACGTTCCCGGTGTTCGCAGACCGGATGATGACGTCCGGAGCGTCCGCGAGGAGGTCCGCCAGTTGCTTCCGGACGGCACCCATTCCCTGAACGGAAGCGAAATGCAAACAGATGGGCAAAGTCTGCCGGCAACCTTGTCCTAAAAAGAGGTAGTTTTTAAGATTATGACCAACCCAGTCATTACTAATCAACAAAGCAGCGAGAGACGAAACTTTTGGCAGCATGGTTTCGAAGTGAACTTCAGTCCGCTCGTGCACCGCGGTTTGGATGCAGTAGAGCGGTCAGAGACGTCGTCGTACAATCCCCGCTCCTCGCAAGATTTGTTTTGGCAGGCCAACCAGTCTCTCATCGGTGTTGGGGAAAACTTCTAAATGATTGGAAAGCTTCTGGAAAATATTTGCTGGGCATTTGCGGACTGGCTCCTATGCCAGCTTCCAAACTCGGGCTTCTTAACCTTGCACCCAAGATGTTGTTTTCGACTGAGTGTTCGATAGCTCCTAAACAGGCAGAGAGTATAGTATGTCGTCCAATTCCGCAAAGTTCGCACCTAATGAATGGCAGACTGGCCGTGCAGGATCTTGGGTGCGAGTTTAAGGTGCCCGAGAAAGAGGCCAGAAGTACATCGGTGTGCCATTGCGCATAGTCGTCACCCTTCGCCCACAGCTGCGAGCAGATGGCGGGCATGCTCACCAGCCTCTGTAGATTCCCCGTGAAGAAGAGCAGCGTCGTAAGATTTCGCAGGTACGCAGACGATGCCATGTCAGCGGCTACGCCACGTGGCAGGCTCTCCACCACGTGCATGTACGGCACCACCACATCCTTTGTCAGCGACACCTGGCAGCGCAACGCGTGGCGCTCGTTAGTCGCTTTCTAAAATCCAGTATGATTTGGAGACATGTCAGGAAGTACTATGCTCGGCCGGATCAGTGTGCAAGTACGTTACTCTGGACTCTTCAAAAGTCATTGAACGTGGCGCCGACGGAGCGTAACTTTCGTGGCCCAAAGGAAAGCAGCCTGAGTCGACCGCAGGAAGAAACGTCCTTGTAGCCAGAGTGTTCCAAAAGTTTGGGTCATGTTACGATTTCTTGTGTCGGTTTTGTGCTACGAAGCACCAGCTATGACACTTGGTCCCGACGAGGCACTGCGAGATGTAGAAAAAGCGGTCGGACTCCGTTCACTTTGAGACATGGGGTTCGCCCGAGCATCCAGTCCTCTCAGCGCACGCTCATCCGAAGGCCAGGCTAATGGGACAGTTTTATTTGAATATCTTCGATGAGAAATGAGAAGAAAGCTCAACGAAGAGTCTTGAATCGTTGACCAGGCCTGTGCAAAGTCGATTTGCGGGAATAGCCCTTGCCGGAAGTGGTTTTCGATCCGACGGAAAGCCCTCCATCGTGACGACTCGTAATCAGACTCGTAATCAACAACCTGACAGTGCTGACGTCACTTGTTACGCACCTCCCAGGACCAGGCCTGCGCAAAGTCGGTGAGCAGGAACAGCGCTTGCCGGAAGTCGGTGCGCTTGCGGTCCAGCGCCAGCGGGTGCACCAGCATGAACACGTGGTCCACCCCCCCGGAGCGACGCCACGGCTCTTGCTGCGCCAGCCACGTGTGCAGTTCTTCCTATAAGGGGGGCGAGGATTGCACCGTCTGTCAGCATATATGCAAATTGAGGAAGCCGGGGAGTTGAACTGAAGGAAGAACTGACTGAGAAGTGGCACAAAGAAGAGAATGCGCCCTTCCTCACGGCTCCTGCTGTGATAGCCACGCATGCATTCCGTCTCCCAGGGGGGGGTGGGGGACTGGGCAGTCTACCAGGATATCAATGAGCGATCAGGAGAGTAGAACCAAAAGCCAAAGTTCCGGGAGTTTGCTGCTGAAAGAGGGGAGATGTGGTCCATCTCACTGGAGCAATGCTATGACTGCTGCTGCAAATCCCGCCAAGCAATCATGCACTCTTTCCTGAAGACCTGAGCTGTAGCGAAGCGAACGCATGCCAGTGATTTGCAGGTTTGTGTAGAGCGAGCTCGCAGCAATGGTTGTCCTTGCAGAAGGACGGATCAAACACGGATCCGAAATGAGGCGCTTCGGATTGAAGGGAAAGGATGGTGACAACTGTCAAAGGGGCCTAATGGGCTGAACCCTATGTTATCACTCAAGGATCAAGTTATTGTAAAGCCATGCAGTTAGTTCTAATTTGGCGCTATGATTCTGACAAGTCGAGCAGCTCGAATAGTCGATTTTCTTCAAGGTCGCTTCAAACCTGAAGACGCGATCATGCAACTCCTTCAATGGAGTCTCTGGCAACCCCGAGGTTCCGAAGCTGAGTTTTCGAACGAAGTTTGCCGGCAAGTCGCTCGACACAACAGACTCTAAGAGAAACGCTATGCCGGCTGCATCGAAGAGACTTGGTGGCAACGTAGTGCAAACTTCGGGTACGTACAAGCTCAAATTCGAAAGCCCTCTTCGATTCGTGCGGACAACGAAGCCATCTGCCGTCCATTCTACTCCCGAAAAACCTGTCAGCACAGGTGAATAGAACCAGAGACCAGCCCGCTGACCTGCAGCTGGTGGTTCTTCCCCTTGAGCTCCCCACACACGTCCGCATGGTCCACGAGAGTGTACTGCGCGCTGTCCGCGCACAGGAACGCCTGCGACCCCATGAATGGCACAAAGAACACGTCCGCTTGCGCGGGGTCGGACACTCGGACGGCAGGGGAAGTGCTGTCCGGACGCAAACGGACCAGGTCTCGGTAGATCCACCACTCAGCTGAGTTGGAACCTTGCTGCAATGCAAGGGGCGGAGTTTGTGTCTATGATCGTGGTTCGACTGAGTTGTGCCCTCATCTTGCAATGCACTGCAGTATGATGCAGTGGTTCAAAGAAGCTCAGATTAGAAGGAAGACAGACAAGAGAATCTCAGGTGGTCTACTAGGGGCATGCTCCTGATTATCAGCAATGTGAGTACAGCCTCAAAAGTGTCAGATTCAGAGGCTTGGAAAAGCAAGGTTCAAAATAAGAAGTGGCAGGGCCTGTCAGCATGTAACTGCGGCCAACAAACAACCATTCACGAGTAATTTGAAGAACTCGGCAAGGAAGAATGTTGTTATTCTGGAATAGTCAAACATGCCTGTGGTGACACCAAATAAGAGGTCAACTCTGAGCTTCGAGTCTCACCATGGCGCTGGGATGCTTGTAGAAGTCGGTTGACATATTTGCGGGGAGCTCGTACACAAACACTCTCAGCTTCTCTTGCACTCCCTTGCAAGCAGAACCGTCCACCTGGCACACTTCCTGGCCGCCACCTGTCGCCCCCTGAGGCCGCTCAGACAACGCCCGCCCATTGATCGCTCCATCACTGTTACATTCCTCCCCATTCAGGCCCCCTGCGCAACCCCCCAGCTTCTCCCCCCGATCCTTTCTCCCATGGGGCACGCTCCCATGCCATTTGACCCCCCCTGGGATGTCTGACTTGGCGCCAAGCAGTCCCCCTTCGGTTTGCGCCTGCTTATGCTCATTGACCTGCTTTAGGAACCTGATCTCAGGAGTTTGCCAGACGTCGAACTGAATCTTGAATTGATACTCTCCAAAGAGGAGGGGCCACGTCAGCGCTAGGCAGAGCAGAGCAAAGAGGAGGAGGCCAAAGCGGGAGCTTCTGGTGGCGCCCTTTCTGCTCTCAGCCTTGCTGAGAAACGCAGAGGACTGCATTATGTCTCTTGTCAAGAAATCCAGCGCATGCTTTTGGTTGGTTTGGTGACAATCTTACTTTGCATCATGCTAACGGCCCCTGAATGACGAAGCACAGATCTCTAGTTTGGGTCCTATCAAGGGCGCTACTTTAGTTGAATGACGCTCGGATACTAATGTGTTCGACCTTGTTCAAACGACTGGTCCTCAAATACCCACTCGGTCAGATTGCTCTAGTCTATTAGCACGCTGATCAACTGACTTATGATGTGCTCGCAAAGCAATGCTGCAGGCTACAAGCGTTTTGGCATTAAGATGCTCAAAGGCAATGCTGAGTTCGATGGTTTGAGGGACTCGAAGGCCAATTCATCCATGCAGGGTGCCGCTCAGTGGCACAATGCTGACTACCGATGGGCGAGCAATGCAACAATTCTGTGCACTCTGATCCTGTCTGCTGCAGAGCAATCATCCCACTCGCAGAGCCGTTCAGGCGCTTCTTCCCTAAGAAGGTAGAAAAGTGCAAAGCGAACATGTATTATGTATCTAAAGACTATGTGCATCTTGCAGCATCTTGCTACTTCTCTACAAATATACAAATAACACCATTCCTTTAGAGAAGTGAGAATTAGGGTTTGCGCTTTCCTTTTCGTGGCTGACGTCTGTCTCCACTACCGTAGTCCAACGTGATGATTCCGAAT